TTTGTTATTATGAAAAGTAATTAAGGAACGTTGGCTACCTTGGCTGTTGAAACCTGGTGATATATTCATTATCTTTACGAAGAATAGTTTTATGCAGGCATTTTAAAACACGTTACTTTGCCTTTAAAACGTTCGTTCATTGTCAATGGATGATTTTTTATGTAGCCATTTCTAAAACACGTTACTTTGCCTTTAGAACGTTACCTTAATAGACTTTAAGTTTTCTCTAATAAGATTGGATGCTTTTTATGTACGCATTCTTAAAACACGTTACTTTGCCTTAAAAACGTTACTTTATTGGACTTAAACTGATCTCTACGAATGGATGATTTTTTTATGTAGGCCATTTTCAAAACAAAGTACTTTGTCAGTAAAACGTTACTTTATTCGACTTTAACAATACTCCACGAAGAATGGATGAATTTTATGTAAGCATTTTCAAAACACGGTGCTTTGCCTTAAAAACGTTACTTTATTGGACTTTAACTTATCTCCACGAAGAATGGATGATTTTTATATGTAGGCAATTTCAAAACACAGTATTTTGACAGTAAAACGTTACTTTATTCGATTTTAACCATACTCCAGGAAGAATGGATGGCTTTTTATGCAGGCATTTTCAAAACACAGTACTTTGCCTAAAAAACGTTACTTTATTGGACTTTAACTTTTCACGAAGAATGGATGAATTTTTGTGTAGTCTTTTCAAAACACGTTACTTTGCCTTAAAACGTTACTTTATTGGACTTTAACTGATCTCCACGAAGAATGGATGATTTTATATTAGGCATTTTCAAAACACAGTACTTTGTCAGTAAAACGTTACTTTATTCGACTTTAACCATACTCCACGAAGAATGGATGGTTTTTTATGTAGGGCTTTCTTAAAACACGTTACTTTGCCTTAAAAACGTTACTTTATTGGACTTTAACTGATCTCCACGAAGAATGGATAATTTTTTATGCAGGTATTTTCAAAACACGTTACTTTGCCTTAAAAACGTTACTTTATTGTACTTTAACTGATCTCCACGAAGAATGGATGATTTTTATGCACGCACTTTCAAAACACAGTACTTTGCCTTAAAGACGTAACTCTATTGGATTTTAACTTTTCTCCTCGAAGAATGGATGATTTTTAGGTAGGCATTTTCAAAACACAGTACTTTGCCGATAAAACGTTACTTTCGTGGACCTTAACTTTTCTCCTCGAATAATGGGTGATTTTTTATGTAGGCATTCTAAAAACACAGTACTTTGCCAGTAAAACGTTACTTTTAACTTTATTCCTTCAAGTGTCGAACATTTTAGCCTGGTGTTTTTAAAAAGCGTTACTTTGGCCAATTTCCGTAACTTTCTTGCACTCTTAGTTTTCCTCCATCGAGCGTTGGTGAAATTTAGGTAGGCATTTTCAAAAAGCGTTACTTTGGCCCTTTTTCGTTACTTTCTTGGACTTTAACTTTTTTGCCCGATTGAGTATTTTGAATGTAAAAAATAAGGAATCAAAAGACGATATTGAACAGTATTCTGTAAAAGTAGAAACAATTGTAGGATGCCTAACTTTTGTATATTTTGGTTTGTTTTGTAGTTAGCTATCATATGTGTGGCCTCTTATATTTCGATGCTTCTCTGCCATGACATTTTCGACACTAAAAATTAACATGGATGAAACTCAATAAATTACTGAATGCCACACGTTTGCTGTAACTATCTGAAATACTAAAGCTAGGCCTTGTACATAGGTTTCTATTTCTCCAAATATTGTTGCAATATGGTCATTTGATTGCTTAGTTTTTAAATTCAAAGTACTCAATAGATGATTTTGAATCGCATTTTGACGAACTTCAGTTTTGTCTCCGTCAGTCGATAAAAAGCAGTCAAAAGACCACAGTGCAATATTAAATGGAAAAATACATTGATATTCTGGTGCAAACGATTGTATTGTTTGTTAGCTCGTGTTTTTAATAATACAATGTGTATATAATTCTTGAAAACTAGTGATTTAGTTCGACATTTATGAGATGTAGTTGAAGCGTACGACATCTTTATGAATTACTCATACTTATAGTCGGATTGAAAACTGTGTTTTATAAAGATGTCGCTCAGTATCAGAAAATACACCTTCCAAATTTTCACATATCAATCTGTCAATCTGTTATTCGTTCATGACTTGGCACAACAAGATCGAATAAACAAGATACACCATCAGACCTAGGATGAAGAAAAGAAGAATATTTGTTTTGGAAAGAGGGTCAAAATTGTTGCATCAATGTCTAAGATGGTTGCATTCAAACGTACTGATAAAGGGAAGTGAAAAATAATGCCATGTTATAAGTAACCTAAATGGCGCGGACGTCAGAGAGCGCCTTCCGGTAAAGTGGGTGTTTGGGATGAATCGATCTTTTATCGTATGAATCGCTAAAATTGCAACTCTGAAGTAATTCAACACTGTTATCGGCTAAACTAATCTATAAACGTACATTCATGAAAAAGGATCCACTTTGGTCTTTTAACTGCCTAATTGAGTACATTGATCGTTAAATAAGCAACCAACATATTGCAACAGAAAATATAAACATACGTACAGGTAACTATTGTATATTACAGATAGTTAGGTATAACGTGCAGTAAAGCTGTACCTATTTAGGGAGTTTCATCCATGTTATTGTTTCGAAAATAACATGGAAGATCATCGAACTACGAAACAAACCAAAACAAAAGTTAGGCATTGTACAAAAGTTTCTATTTTTCCATAAACTGTTTAAATATGGTCATTTGATTCGTTGTTTTTTAGATTCGAAGTAGACCTACTCAATGGAATTATTAATCGAGCAAAATTGCAAGAATTTAATTATTTATACCACTCACTGACAAGATTTTCAAGTTACACATCGAAAAAAGTTTAAGTCAAAGAAAGTAACGGAAAAGGGCCAAAGTAACGCTTTTTGAAAATGCCTACCTAAAATTTACCAACGCTCGATGGAGGAAAACTTAAGAGTACAAGAAAGTTACGGAAATCGGCCAAAGTTACGCTTTTTAAAAACGCCAGGCTAAAATGTTCGACACTTGAAGGAATAAACTGGCCAAGTAACGTGTTTTAACAACTTGGCATGGAAACAGTTAGAGTCCACGTGAGTCCACGAAAGTAACGTGGTTATATCGGCAAAGTACTGTGTTTTGAAAAGGCCTACCTAAAAAATCATCCATTCTTCGAGGAGAAAAATTAGAGTCCACGAAAGTAACGTTTTATCGGCAAAGTACTGTGTTTTGAAAATGCCTACCTAAAAATCATCCATTCTTCGAGGAGAAAAGTTAGAGTCCAATAAAGTAACGTTTTTAAGGCAAAGAAACGTGTTTTGAAAATGCCTAATATAAAATCATCCATTCTTCGAGGAGAAAAGTTAAAGTCCAATAAAGTAACGTTTTTAAGGCAAAGTAACGTGTTTTAAGAATGCCTACATTAAAAATCATACATTCTTTGTGGGGAGAAGTTAAAGTCCGATAAAGTAACGTTTTATTGGCAAAGTACTGTGTTTTGAAAATGCTTACCTAAAAATCATCCATTCTTCGAGGAGAAAAGTTAGAGACCAACAAAGTAACGTTTTATTGGCAAAGTACTGTGTTTTGAAAATGCTAATATAAAATCATCCATTCTTCGAGGAGAAAAATTAAAGTCCAATAAAGTAACGTTTTTAAGGCAAAGTAACGTGTTTTAAGAATGCCTACATAAAAAATCATACATTCTTTGTGGGGAGAAGTTAAAGTCCGATAAAGTAACGTTTTATTGGCAAAGTATGTGTTTTGAAAATGCTTACCTAAAAATCATCCATTCTTCGAGGAGAAAAGTTAGAGACCAACAAAGTAACGTTTTATTGGCAAAGTTCTGTGTTTTGAAAATGCTAATATAAAATCATCCATTCTTCGAGGAGAAAAGTTAAAGTCCAATAAAGTAACGTTTTTAAGGCAAAGTAACGTGTTTTAAGAATGCCTACATAAATGCCTACAAAAATCATCCATTCTTCGTAGAGTATGGTTAAGTATTATACATTATAAATGCCTACATAAAACATCATCTATAGTCATGTTTGACTTTTCATAATAACAAAACGAAATAAACAGTACTTTTAAAATGTCAATATTTTCTGTCCCTATATCTTGACACTGTTGAACTAAAGAGGCCCTACAATATTTTGGGCCGAACATTTTTTTCTGGGCCCATCCTAGGGCAGCGCGTAAAATTTTTTAGGGCCCTAAAACCAAGATTTTGGCCAAAATTTATAGCCCGTTTTTGAAGATATGGCCTGAAATCGAAAAAAAATAAGGCCCAAAAAGGTCAAGTGATGCCCAGAAAAGCCCACTAAAGAGGCCCTACAATATCTTTGGGCCAACATTTTTTCTTGTCCTGGGGGGGAACAGAGAGAAAGGGGCACAAATAGTCCGCGAAAAAATTGGGCCAAATTTTGAAAAATAATGCCGAAATCCGAAAAACAATGCACGGTAATGCCAGTTTTTTAATCTTAATTGCCCAGTGAATGTGGGGAAGAGCAAGTTTTTCTTCAAGGAAGCAAAAAGGTAGGTCCACATTTTTTTAGGAGATATCAGGGGGGGGGGGCTCGGACGAGCCCCCAGAGCCCCCCCCCTGGCTACGGGCCTGTACATGTCTCTGTGATTCAGAGTATCAATAATATGTCAAGGAACTTCAGAAATTGAGGACTGAGCTGAAGAAGACTGTACACGTGTACAATGTAACTGATATTTGAAAGATATGTTCAATCTATCGATGTCATTCTTTGATGGAGTAATCATTAACTTATGGTTGCCAAATTGGTTCAATGTAATATGCGATCAATGCAATAAAGGCTTCGTAATAAACAAAAAAGTCCTACCATTTTCAATATTGATGCAGAAATTTAATCTTGTGCCGAAGAGAAACACAACGAAGATCATGATTGGTTCGACTATTTGTATTGAACCAATCAAAATGTTCGTCTCAAAATATGATAACCGGAAGTTTCAATTTTTTAGATTCTGCTTTTTTAGAAAACAGTAACTGAGTAAACATCATTGCTATATAATTAAACCCTGTTCCAACGTTAGGTAAGTTATAGTGCTAAGCTTATACCAGTTCAGTGTTGGTTCAACACAGGATGGTTTCTCAAGTGGGTGCAAATTTTTCATCTTACTAGGCCTAGATCTATTCAGATAAAAATTGGTCAAAATTGGCCATTTAGCCTAATTATAGGCTAGCCTAGACTAATGATTTGTCATGATTTCTCTCATTTTTAGTGGGTGCAAATGGATTTTCATGTGGCAAGCTTGGTGATATTTTTGTTGCGCAAGGATCCTGTCACGACCGTGGTAATGTTATCGTGAAAGCCTAGCGTGACTTATCCCGTACCAGGACTATAGTCCTGTATGGAGCGCACTCTTTTGCCTGTACGATTACAACTTGGGAGAATTATCTACGCCCCTTACACTTAAGATACCTACCTCAATGCATTATAGAACTCAAAATGTAACTTCTAATATATTGGAACCGCCGATTGTCTGGGTATATCGGCAGAACGGGAACATTTTTCTTTTTCATCGAGAGAGATTCCATCACTTTTCAACATGGCGGTTGGATTTAAAAGGGGAATCCCCCGTATGACTGTCCCGGATGTGGACCGGAAGTACCAATATGGAGGAATTTGACGGTTGAAATAAGTTAAATGTTACACGCAAATATTGCGATCAAAAATGAAAATGTCTTCGTTCTGCCGATAAACCCAGACAATTGTGGATTCAACTACACGAAAAGAATGCTAAAATACCAAGAAATCTATTGAAGTAGGTATCTGAAGTGTAAGAAGCGTAAAAAATTCTCCCATGTTGTAATCGCACAGGCAAAAGAGTGAGATGTTCACAGGACCATAGTCCGGGAACAGGATAAAGCGTGACCATAGCCTTTATATGACATTTACATGTATGACTTGTTTCATTTGCCCCTTGCTATTCAGTGTATTTGTATGGTTTAACCTTGGTAAATAATTGATCGTCATAGATCTAGGAAGTGCATGTATGTATTATTGAATCGAACATTCTTGAATGAGATTAGAATTATGATCATGGGGTTTCAATTAGAAGGGTAGTCTAATCAACTCTGTGTCATAACATGAGACCTTAAGAATGAGCAATGCCATGCTTCCCTTTTATGGTAGTATTCCAAAAGGTATTAGATAAATGTATATGTTTTAGTATTACTTTGAATAAAAATCAATTTTCAAAATGATTAAAGCATAAAAGGAGGAGGGAAAGTATCGCAACAGATTTCGGACAGTCATATGTTGGATTTTGGCTATTTTCTGATGATTTAAACAGGTGCATATGTTAGACCAATGCATTCCCTCCAGGAAAAGCACTCTTAGAGATGATAAAATAATTTCGCCTTTGAGATAGGAAGAAGCATTACAACCCACCCACATGTTTTTTCTGATATGTTGTCCTGATTTTCAACCCTTTCCACCCCTGCTTTTTCAATTTTTGTTGCATCAATTTGTTGCATTTTGACACACAGTTAACTCCTTTAAAGGAATAAGTTACTCATCCAGAGGTTTTAAAGATAGCCATTATGGATGACCAAAATTAGCTGAAAGCAATGGATCGCATGAGTTTTCCCTATGGGAAAATAACATGGGAAATAGTGTTTTCCACTTTATCTAAGAGGAGTCACTTATTCCTTTAAAGGGGTCAACTGTGTCTTAAATGCAACATATTAATACAACAAAAATCGAAAAAGCAGGGGTGGAAGGGGTCGAAAATCAGGATAACATTTCAGGAAAAACATGTTGGTGGGTGGTTTGCATCTTCCCTGTCTCAAAGTCGATATTATTTTAGCATGAGTGCTTTTCCTGGAGATAATGCATTGGCCTAACATATGCACCTGTTTAAATCCTTAGAAAATAGCCAAAAAACAACTTATGACAATCTGAAATCTGTTGCGATTCCCTCCTCCTTTATTTAATCTCATTCTCATGTAAGAGTAAACAAAAAAGACCAATATCGAGATTTTCTCTTTGAGTATTGCATTGTGGGTAATTATTCAAGAACACATTCCAATAAAGACATAATTTGTGAGAGAATGTTCACTTTCTGTATTGTCATAACTATCTAACCATATCTAATCATGTTTTTATTTTTGAGTTTTTTCTTTAAATCATCCATAAAAATGACAAAATGAGATTTTCTTGGCATGTGTACATTCTGTACATTCTCCAATTTTGAAAAAACAAAGGTAATGCTTCTGTATGAAATATGGGAAGTTGCCTACCCTTCTTGTAAAAATTCCATGGAATTATAGTTTGTGGAAAGTTAAAAATGAAGCTAAAATTTTATGTACATCAATGTACGTGAGTGCCATGTACATGTTTAGTCGTATAGATTTACATAATTTGTCATTACAGTATACTCATGCTACTAAATGTCATTTAAAGTAACCATTGTCATGGTCATATCGTGCTTTAACATTACCATGCTCATGACTGGCTTTGCAACCATTGTCAGGGTCATATCAGACTTTAATATTACCAGGGTTATGACAGGCCTTGCAACCATTGTCACTGTCATGTCAGGCTTTAACATTACCATGCTCATGCAGGGTCTGACCTTAACTTTTTTTACCAGTAGCAAGGATTTGCTACCTTCTACCAAAACAAGGAGCAAATTCCCATATTCAGGTAGCAACAAAAATGCTCCAAGAAAACATTATCAGGTAGCAAATTAATTGCTCCTCAAATTCTATTCATGTCTTATAACGAATCCCCGGTTATTTCTCGCCTTTTTGAACTGAACGAAACGACCATTTTTTACGTTCAAGGAAACAAATTATAGCGTATTCGTCGATGAAACATGTTATCTTGCAGGCGACATTTTTTCGGCAAAAAATTCTGTTTCGCTTAAGCGAGTAAAGTCCAATCAGTGATGTTATCTCATTTTGTTTCATTTTGGGATCCGTATCAACCAATCAGCGTTGAGGTTGTATATCGCTATTGGAAACGCGATGAAAAAATGAAAAAATATAGGGAGTGGTAAGTTCCATTGATTCTATGCAATAGAAGGGTTGAAATACATGAGATTTGTTGCGTAAATTTGAGGTAGCAAGCATTTGCTCCCAGCCACGAAGTTTTTGGAGCAAAATGTGAAATCAGGTAGCAAATTTGCTCCTTGCTACCGCTAAGATCGAACCCTGTCATGACAGGCCTTGCAACCATTGTCACGGTCATATCAGGCTTTAACATTATCAGGGTTATGACAGGCTTTGCAACCATTGTCAGGGTCATATCAGGCTTTAATATTACCAGGGCTATGACAGGCCTTGCAACCAATGTCACGGTCATATCAGGCTTTAACATTACCAGGGTTATGACAGGCTTTGCAGGTTATGACAGGCCTTGTAACCATTGTCACGGCCATATCAGGCTTTAACATTACCACGGTCATTTCAGGCCTTGCAACCATTATCACGGTCATATCAGGTGGAGGTTTTCTTTTGGAAGAGTAAAGATGAAGTAGCAAACCATTAACTAAACCTCCATATTATTAATTGTGATGTTTCAGACCATGCCTGAAGAACAGAATCTGCGTAAGCTAACAACTATACAAGGGAAGACCTTCTACCTACTTTTAGAGAGCAACAAATCGGGAGATGATGGAATGGACCTGCTCCTCAGTGATGGAACAATATGTTGGATAGGAAACTGTAAGCCACCATATTGAATTTCTGACTTGATTTCTAGGTTGATTCTTAAGTTTTAAAGTCAGACATGAATGTTATGTAGTTTTTTTTAGTTTCTTGAGCAAGGAAAAATTGAAATAGAAGAAGCAAATTAGAGCATGGCTCTGTGGCTTAGTCTAAAGACCTAGAGAGCACCCTGCTAAGTTTTAGTCTTAGATACTTTTTGATTCACCATAAGCACAAGTTCCAATAAAGATACAAATATGTAAGCCTGTCATGTGGATTCAGGAAATAGATACCTAGTATCCAAAACAATTGTAATATATATGTATAAAGAAATGGTGTCTAACAACCTTCCCCCTTCCTCAACATTTAGAACTACATGTACACTGTAATACTTATATAGGTAAATGTAGATATTGATTGGAATGGGTATGGATAAATGCCAAGCATACTCCCCTTCCTACAACACCGTCAACCACCCATCCCATTGGCAGGGCAGGGAAAGACTACCTCATTCCATGGAGTCTCTGTTCATGCAGAAACAGTACTCTTAACTTTTTTTTAGTATCTGAAGAGGATCTTTCAACTTTGAGTGGAGATTATAACATGGATATCAAGGCATACACCAAACAAACTATAATGGCACTGACATCAAACAAATCTTCGACCTTGAACTTTCAATATGAGGTTAAGGTCATCAGAAATAATGTTGAACTGACATGGAAAAAGCATGTTCCAGCAGATGATGTCAAGGTAATAGTTTGTATTATTTGTTTCTTCATTTTTTGTTCATTTGTAATTTTTTTATATTGCATAGGGGCTCAGTAAATAAATAGACGAGTGTGATCATTTGTTTTAAAAATTGATTTAAAGATTCATTTTTGTATAAATTAGCCAAATATTTGTTTTTCAGATCAAGCTTGGGTCTGTGGTACTTGAAGAGACTGATGATTCTGCCTCTAGCCTGAGTAAAATCCTGGACTTTTCCATCCAGAATGCTGCAAAACTACAAGAGCGTATAAAGTCCCTGGAGTCAGATACTGAGAGACTGGCCTCTGAAAGAGCAGGGGCTGTAAAGGTACTGAGGTGTTCACAATTTCTATAACTACTAGGGGTCAGTAACATAAGCAAAATGAAGTTTCCATCCAACTAAACGGATTGTACCTAACTGTCTACAACATGTTCATGATGACAAGTCTTATATTGGCTCTATTGCTATATTTCAGAGGTTGGAAAAATGGGTGAAGTCTAAGGAGGACATGGAGAAGGATATGTTTGAGAAGGTAATTAGTGCATCAAATCCAGAAGTGGTTATAGTATCCAACTTTTTTTGGGATGGTGGTCGGTATTCCATGGTCAGCAGTTGGTGTCTGTAACAAATGGCTTATGGTGACATTTTGCATGTTATGTTTTGTTAACTTTTGATAAAATCAGGAAAATCAATTCTCCAAATCGTTGTTCCCTCTTCAAAAGAGGAGATGCGAAAATCTTTCCTTATAAGGTCAAAATATTTCCCATGATGCAGTTCACGGAGGAACAAATATACATCCTTGTTTTCCCTCATAGGTTTAACATGGGGATTTTCACACCTATTTTTCAAACGATATATTTGTACATATTCCCGTACGAGAGTACAGAAAAAATTATTAGAAACGATTGATCTCTTATTAATCTTAATTAGCTATTTTTTTATTGTATTGATTCATAACGTGGTGAGAATGATGATTGAAAAGTGAGAAAGTATTCCGGAAGAGAAGGTCACATGATCAGTCGACTAGTCGCCATATTGGAAAAAACAAATCCATTCGACTTTCAATACTTTCATGCCAATCTTGCCGCACTACAAACTGCAACATCGATGCAACAACTGAATAAAAGTGTTCATCTTCAAATTACATTATAGAGTTATGTTGAAAACCCAAAAACAACTGAGCAGTAGACCAAAGAAGATGCGTTGCTATTATCTAGGTCAATCTGTTCAGTGGTCCGAAAGCAAATCTATTAGGACTCGTTTCCGAATTTTGTTGTTCATTGTACAATCTTTTATTGTAAACTCGGTATACTGACTATTAAAGCAATGACAAAGAAGAATACTTCCGATGGTGTCATTGTTTTATTAAGCGTGCGGGTGTAAAAACAAAATTGCGTAATTAGTTTGATTTAGAACTTTCGGGTCACGCATATAGCTATGCGAAATGCATAGTGGGAAAATATTGACCAATCGAATTTTGTCCTTTTTGAGTGCTTTGACCAAAATGCTTCCCTGTAATTCAATAAGATGTTACACTAAAATATGAAAATCTTAAAATGTTACATTTCAAATTGTAAAATCCTAAAATGTTGAACAAAAGTAAAAAACCTCAAATGTTGCTCTAGAAATAACAAAACCCTCCAAACATAAAAGCCTGGAGATGTTACAATGAATATATGAAGGAATGAACGAACGAACGAATGATTTACCAATCAACAAATATTGATATCATATTTTACACTGTGATTTTGATAACACTTTCAGCCCTTAAATTTCAGTTTGTTACCATAGTGAATTCCAAAAAGCAAAAAATTAGAGAACTAAAGGCTGCTAATGTGTCCAGGTCTCAAGATGAGACTGACCCTCCAACTCCTCCAAGGTCAAAGGTCAGTAGGTCAAAGGTGAAGGACACAGATGTAGATGTTGAGGATAGCAGGGAGAAAAGTGACATTCGTGATAGACTGTCAGACTAGTGAGTTTAAATTTGTTGTAGTATTGTGTGTCAAAATTCTGAATTATAATAATATTATGTCACCACCAAATTTTTGTGGATGATGTTTGGTGGATTAAACCTTACTAAGTCAGTTAAAGGTTATTTTTATTAGTATCCATGCACAAAGATGACTTCTTTTTTAGCTTCCCCCATTTAAGCTCCTTCTTAAGATTAATGTATAATGTAAACCTTTTTCTTATGTTTCCAGTGATACTGATGAGGAGAATCAGAGAGAAAACCCAACAGTCCCTACAAAATCAAGAGCAAAGAAAACCACAGAAGCTTCACAATCTTTGTTTGATGATGATGACTCACCTGATAAACCTGCTCCCAAGAGGTATGTTCTGTGTATGTTGTATTGAACAAAGTGAAACACACTCCAGGGAGCAATGTTAGCTCCAGACAGTGTGTTAGCTCAAGAATATCAAACCTGATCCCAAGAGTAGCCTTGCCCAAGTCTGTATTTTTTTTACTAATCTGATCTTGAATTATTACCGCCTTGCAAAATCCAATACATCTCCGCTGATATTATGAGGAGATATTCAACGGTTTCGAGATTTCCATAATACCTACGCTATCAGGGGTATCACAAAACCTTATTGATTTACAGATTGCGTGGACGACACGATGTGTGACTTCAAGGCTGATTGACCAATCAAAACGTTATCAGGTTGAGCTGCATAAACAAAGCAAACTTCCCGTCTACGACTTGACATTCAATGATCTGATCGAGTGTTTCTTTAGAGTTGCAATATCATTCATTAATATATTATGTAATTAAATGTACATTGGGATGTAAGAGTCATTAATATAAATTAAATCATGCGATTCAATGTTGATTTAAAACTGATTTCGCAATGAAAATGCACGATGAAAATGTAGCGGGTCATGCAGTCGTCGATCAGTGATTCTCTCAGCCTACATGTTCGATCATTTGAATTCAGCGATTGTTTCAACGTTTATAGTTGAAATCTTATCACCTCCGGTTATCCAATCGATGCTCCGGTTATCCAATCAATGCTCCGGCATCCACTAAACTCTTATTGATATTTATCTGATAAAATATTTGTATTTTTGATGAAAAGTCCCGGTGAAAAGTGTACTTGTTTTTGACCGTGCATAATAATGAGCTAACGCTACAGGGCCGTCGTTGATTGGTCAAATTTTACCGACATCAACAAACTGTCAGTAAAGCACGTGGCTTTCTCTTTGGTACAAGGCGGTCATAATAGAAATCAAGATAAGTAAAAGAGACAGACTTGGGCAAGGCTATCCCAAGAGGTATGTACTGTGTATTTTGTATTGAACAAAGTGAAACACACTCTAGGGAGCAATGTTAGCTCCAGGCAGTGTGTTAGCTCAAGAATGTACCTGATCCCAAGAGGTATGTACTGTGTATGTTGAATGGAACGAGGTGAAACACACTCCAGGGAGCAATGTTAGCTCCAGGTAGTGTGTTAGCTCAAGAATGTACCTGATCCCAAGAGGTATGTACTGTGTAGGTTGAATGGAACAAAGTGAAACACACTCCAGGGAGCAATGTTAGCTCCAGGCAGTGTGTTAGCTCAAGAATGTACCTGATCCCAAGAGGTATGTACTGTGTATGTTGAATGGAATGAGGTGAAACACACTCCAGGGAGCAATGTTAGCTCCAGGCAGTGTGTTAGCTCAATAATGTCAAACCTGATCCCAAGAGGTATGTACTGTGTATGTTGAATGGAACGAGGTGAAACACACTCCAGGGAGCAATGTTAGCTCCAGGCAGTGTGTTAGCTCATGAATGTCAAACCTGCTCCCAAGAGGTATGTACTGTGTATGTTGTATTGAACTAAGTGAAACACACTCCAGGGAGCAATGTTAGCTCCAGGCAGTGTGTTAGCTCATGAATGTCAAACCTGCTCCTGAGAGGTATGTACTGTGTATGTTGTATTGAACAAAGTGAAAGTTAGCTCCAGGCAGTGTGTTAGCTCAAGAATGTCAAACCTGCTCTCAATAGGTATGTACTGTGTATGTTGAATGGAACGAGGTGAAACACACTCCTAGGAGTAATGATAGCCCCAGGCAGAATGTTAGCTCCAGATAAAATGTCCAATGTTAGCTATATGCAGTATGTTAGCTCCAGATAAAATGTCCAATGTTAGCTATATGCAGTATGTTGGCTCCAGATAAAATGTCCAATGTTAGCTATATACAGTATGTTAGCTCCAGATAAAATGTCCAATGTTAGCTATATGCAGTATGTTAGCTCCAGATAAAATGTCCAATGTTAGCTATATACAGTATGTTAGCTCCAGATAAAATGTCCAGTGTTAGCTATATGCAGTATGTTAGCTCCAGATAAAATGTCCAATGTTAGCTATATGCAGTATGTTAGCTCCAGATAAAATGTCCAGTGTTAGCTATATGCAGTATGTTAGCTCCAGATAAAATGTCCAATGTTAGCTATATGCAGTATGTTAGCTCCAGATAAAATGTTCAATGTTAGCTATATGCAGTATGTTAGCTCCAGATAAAATGTTCAATGTTAGCTATATGCAGTATGTTAGCTCCAGATAAAATGTTCAATGTTAGCTATATGCAGTATGTTAGCTCCAGATAAAATGTTCAATGTTAGCTATATGCAGTATGTTTGCTCCAGATTAAATGTTCAATGTTAGCTATATGCAGTATGTTAGCTCCAGATTAAATGTTCAATGTTAGCTGTATGCAGTATGTTGACAACTTTTAGATTTCAATTTGGCGTACTCTAGGTGGAAATACATTAAGTATTATCTCAGAGTACAGCTGAAAATGTATAGTGTAATGTTTTTTCAAAAAAGCAAACAAAAACGTTTTATATATATTTCATAAAAATATAACCGAGTATTACCTGTTGTATTCTATAGAAATATTCAACACATTTCCACCACCTGATGGTGAAAACATTGTCTGAAGAAAAGGAATATTATTCCATAATTTAACTCTTAATTATGGCACCACCTGAAGTGGTGACATATTGTTCTAGTTTCAGATTTTTGTGGTGGTGTTCACTGGTTGGTGTTTGTCATTTGCCATTCAGCAGTAAGCGTCTGTAACAAATGGCTGGTGTCGACATTTTTGTTTTCATGCCTTGTTTTCAATTTAAAATGTTATTAATTGATCATCTTCAGAACTAACTTTACCTTTGATATTTCAGAAGACGTCAAAGAGAACCATCTAAGAAACAAACACCTGCAAAACCCGCTTTACCTCGAGTAACCACACCCCAGTCTACTTCACGGAGGTCAGTCTACTTTACAGTGTTATATCTGCGTTACAATGAAAAAATTCAGCAAAATTAAGTTTCCTCTTATGTAATTTAGTCATTGACAAATTTCAATACTTTACTTTCATACATTGTTCAAATGCTGTAGCAAATATGGCTATTGTTGAATTGTCTTCTCCCCGAATGTAACCTGGGAAATTAACTCTTAAATCACTTGATCACTATTTTTACTTGCAGTGGCAGTAGAACCAGTATGCGTAAAACATCTTCTAATAAATCTTCAAATATAGATGCTGATGATTTACTGGACGATTTGTAATTAATTATCGACTGCAGATTACAATTGTAGCAACAACAAATGATGGTCCAATAATACAAAGACCCTTCCTTCTAACATACATGTATGTCTGGAAGCATAAACTGTTATGATCTTAGTTAATGGACATATTCTAAAGTTGGAAATAGCAGCTATTGTGGCAGGGTGCATAAAACAATTCTAGATCAACTGTTAAACATTGAGTTTTAGACAAGTTGTCATGTCCTTTACACATGTTGAGACAATCAGTTGTCCCACATAGAAACATGCTAAAGGGGTTTGGACTTCTGGGTCTGAGCGCTTTGCTGCTTTTGTATCATGGACTGTAAAATCTATTTTTATGAAAAAGAGAAGACGTGAGTGGAAATCTGAACTTCAAATACATGTACTTGTACATGCCTCATCACACATCGAAAGTGACATAATGACTCCTCATAACTCAGTTTCATCAGAGGAATGTGTTTCTAAAAACAGGGATAGTTTGGAAGTATAATTACAAAATATTGTATTACTTAAGGAATAAAGACAGAGGTTTTATGATTTGTGGCGTATTATATGACTGAAAATTCTATTCTGTTCATTGTTAAAAGACCGAAATCGCGTAGTGATTGAGTGATTGATCATGGTGAACATGTATACCAAGCTACCCTATCTACATCCTAATGCTTCATTGGTACAAGTTGATTTTCAGATTACAGGTGTGTTCATATGGCAGGCCATTTACACTTCAGGTTTACTCTTTGTAACATGAACTAGACTTCATCTAATGTATGCCCATTAAATGGAGATAAAACTGTGAATTAAGCTATTTTTATCACCATAAAAACTATCTGGAATCATTATTGAGTATCGTGGCTAAATGATGGGAACTTAGGACGAAAGTGACAAAAATGTATTTGTGATTTGGATGTACAGGATAGAATTTACCGTGCAGAATTGGAGTATTTGTGCAAGTCATGCTATAATGTGCCATAGAGACATTACAAAAGCCTCATTTACAATTTGTATTTATATTTCAGACAATCATGCAGAACTTGTTTTACAGGAGAAACTATAAAATGTAAATAACTCTTTTTTGCCGCTTGCAGTGATGTGTACTTTTTTAAATTTTATAATTTGATAATAGATGATGAGCCCAAAATGGGCTGGATCTTATTTAATTAGAGTATGTACCTTCCACTATAAATATTGAAATAAACTAAACTATAATTGTGATTTTTTTAGGTACTGTATAAAGCATCAGTCTGCAAGCTTTCCAGCCAATAATTTCTCATATTACTTCATTAATGATTTAGGTTGTAAAAGTTATAAAGAGACATCATGAAATTAAGTATGTATAGAAGAATATAAGGTATACATAACACGGGGGTAGAGCAGACCCGATGATGCAATGAGCTTGCTCGGCGGTATCATGACTGTGTAACGGGTCTTAATGTATAAGTGTGCTCGGCGGTAGGTTCAAACAACGCGGATCCTCAAAGCATGTGCTCATGGTATATTCGTGTTTTAACACCCGTGCATAAGATGTATAAGATGTAGCCTTCCAATTTAGTAGAATATATATGAATACAAATTTCCATCACAGTGAATGTTGATTTTCCTCTTATTTGTACCAGATAATCTGCTAGAGCAGTAGACAATGGTTTGTGTGAACCTTAGAAAAGTATTGGTTGGAATACTCCTATAAATCATTAGTACAAAAATAGCAGTATAAATCGTCTGTTTATTATCTCATCGAACAAAGTTCAGAGGGATATAGGGAACGCCTCCGACTGTCCGTCGGTCTGTCCGTCGTACGTACATCCTTCCATCCAGGCAATAACTCAAATACCGTCGGCCTGATTTTGTTCATATTTTGTACACATATACCCTATGGGAGTAGAAGTTCTACTCGAAATCTGATTTTCAAAATGGCAGCTCATTTAAAAATGGCGGCCATTTTAGTGCCGATTTTACAGTAATTTAGGTGCAATATGTAAAACTGTAATAGCAATATGTTTTAAATGTAAAAAAATTATAAAGGATATTAAGGCTAGAAATGTAGAAAATGTAGTTTTGAAAAATGACCGCCATTTTAACATATTTTACTATAACTTTTTTGTTCATATTTGGTATGTGAATACTTAAAGCATGGCACACTGTGTAATGACACTTTTGGTAGAAGGTGGCCATTTTGAAAAATGGCCACCATTTTAACGTATTTTAATATAACTCGAAAAGTAGTGGAGCGATTTTGTTCATATTTGGTATGTGAATACTATAAGCATGGCACACTGTCTAATGACACTTTTGGTAGAAGTAAAAATGGCCACCATTTTTGCTATATACTTTGTTTGTAAATATGCCAGCCATGGCTGTTCGATGGGATTTGCTACGCTTTGGCGTTGCTGTTGTCTAGTTAACATATTAATCATAGCAAGCAACTATATCTGTTATATCTGTTTTATCTCATTTCTTATCTTTGGCGGCTGGTCTTGGCATTTCAGAGTTAATCAACAGTGAGTGCTCCCTTAAGTATATCTGTACCACGTAAGTTTCTACCTGTCTAGTCACAGCAAAAGATATCTGGAGTACCTGAACCTGCAAACCATTACGCTTCACTAAGATAATTGCAGAGATAAATAAGGACAAACTGCGTTGGATTTTACAGAACTAGTATGTTGTTTAAGATACAGGTTATAATAATAAGACCATTAACGCCTTACAGGTGAACAAGAAAACTGAAAAATATTTGTGTATTAGTTGCATTATACTGTGTTTAAAAATGAAATTGTCTTCAGATTACAATTATAAGCACTTCAACTGGATGTCTCTGAATTGATTGGGAGATTTTTATGAACTGTATCATGTTGAAGGGTAGAGTGAATTGGGACTGTACCAATAAAGCATCTCTGCCGTGTGGAGGAGGGTTACAATGAGAAGGAGGGGAAATCTAACATAATCAGATGTTTCATTTCATGGAAATTCAATCTAATTTCTACACATTTTTATACTTAAATAAATGTAAGAACATCTTAAACACTGCTCATGATGTTCATTCCGTAGGAATCTGAAAATTCACCTTATATTGCTGTTTTTCCAACATATTTCCAAGGTGATTTATGTAATAGAAACGAGATCCTTTATATATGATGAAAAAGGTGGCAGAATTACAATATGATTGTCCTTCTACAATGTATGATAAATGAATTGAACTATTGATGTGTGTAATCTTGTTTTATTTCCATATATGGGTGCAGAATGATTAGTAATGCCTCATGTGCAGCCTGTCCCATAAAACAATGATGTTATCGCAGTTTCCAATTACAGCTAGGCCTACTTCTAAAAACTTGATTGGTAAACTGATGTTTTCATTATTCAAGATCCACCTCTGTTTGAATGTTAAGTATGTGTATAACTTATTTGTAATTATTAAAGATGGCATAGAGACATTCTAGGGTCTAGCATTGTTTTAATATTGCAAAACATATGGTAATCCATGATGACTTAGGGAAGGTATTACAATAGATCTATTAGTTGTTTAATATGATAGAAAACATTTGGGGGATATTTCAAACATATCAGCCATGTTGTGTTATAACTACTAGCTACTAAGTACAGTATCTAGTTTCGATCCTGGGAGCCAATCCTCCTTGTACTAGCTGGAACTCACTTCTTTCAGAGGCTGACTGATATGTTCTAATTTTCATCTATTTTGGGGTCTTTAGTTTTAATTTTTTGAATATTTAAATGTTAACAAAAACAGTTATATAAAATATATATAAATAATTTTCGCATTAAATTGTTGTCAATCAGTCAACATTACATAAAGGACCTCGTTTTTTACAGAATGTTTTCAATAATTGGTTTAAGAGAAAAACATTGTTGAATTCAGTTCACCATATCGATACCTAACCTTTGGCTAAGATGTGTTAATATTTGACAGTGTAGCAGTTGTAATGGTAACGTGAAGTAGGGTGAATTAATTTATTAGTTTAATAAAAGGCTTTTCTCATTCTGAAATAGTGGATACATTTAAACCAAATTAGAACTTTCACAATTTCTATTTTATATATCGATCTCCATTAGCTGCTAGTATCAACTTTATCCATCATAATATCATGATATAAAAAAATTATCAATAAAAGGTAATAATAATGGAAAAAGGTTTCCAACCAACAGTGCTTATTATTCTCTTGTAATTTGCTGAACTTCCAGTTGTCCTAATATAATAACCATGTAAATAGTAGGATCTCAATAGGAGTCCGATATTAAGCCACATATGTCTTAGATCCTGAATTTACTTCTGTCAACATGTACAGTAAAACCTGTCTTAGTGAACACCTCTCTCTAGTGAACACCTGTCCCTAGTGGAACCCTTCCTACGCACATAGTCCACTGACTTCTGTATAAATTACCCTCTCTCTAGTGAACACCTACCTACAGTGAACGTTTTTTCTTGGCAAAAAAATGTTCACTATACACAAGTTTTACTGTATTTTGTAATAAAGCAAAATCACTAGACCAGACTATAAAATGAGATCATTTGACCAAGAGACTGAACACATTTCACTGGCTGATCTAGGGTTGCTCCAGCAAAATTGATAAAAATGTTTATTCCTAAAAGGCCTAACGTGAGTCTAAATCTGAAAAATGAGCTAGTAATAAAAAATCTGATCTGTACTACAACCAATGTGGCTAGATACGCATTGTTCAAATGAATATATTTGCAGAGTAGTCAGCAGGTCAGAGACATGATTTATTATGTCTGCACTGCAGTTTATTCTTATAATCTAAAGCCCCTATTCATAATTAAACCCTAGCTAGTTTGTGATTCAATGACCCATATACAGTATGTTGATGCATCTTATCTTTCAGGTGTGTTTGTCTATCATGCAATTTAATGTGATATAAGGGGTTCGATCAGTAGGTGGAATGGTTTAAACTCATTTTAATTCATCAATGGATTTAAACTGCATTTTATTCAAATTTTTGGCAATCTTGAAATTCAAATATAATCATGTACAGTAAACCTGTCTAAGTAGAACACCGTTGGTACCTCTAAAAAGTGTTCCACTTGGGAGGTGTTCTTTTTCTTTTTATTCATCTCTGCATTTAACATCAAGCCAGTTGGTTTTGGGACTCTGAAAAGCGTTCCAATAACAGAGGTGTTCCACTCTAATTTACATGGTTCACTGTATTATAAATTGCTTGTAAATAGGCTATCAAGTGGCACTCATTCTCATTACTAAAATATACCTATAAATGTACTTCATAAAAAGGTACATCATTTTAATTTTCCGAATGGAGATTAATGGGGAATGATGTACAAAAGTATAAATGAATGTTTAACATCTTTATTTAACTTGGCCTAAGAGCTCTAAGAGGTTCTGGAATTGCAATAGTTGTTCAATATATTTATCTGTTGGAAAATGTATTTTGAAACTTCCCCTTAATACCTGTCTACATCACTTAATGTACCATTGAGCTAGCTGCTTACATTGTATTAAATAAAAACCAAACACAGACATTGCAACTACAAATGAGTCATTTCTTTTATCAAACTTAGAAATGAACACTGGACTAACAGTGAACAGTGATGCAAGATATAAATTTCGTATTATTCAGTGATGTAGAAAAACAAAGATGCCAAAATTGATGAAACCTAAGGGGGGAAAAGATTCTAACACAAAGGAAATTCTTATAAAATTCATGAAAACTACATCAATACGTGGACTTCCTAGAATAATCAATAGCGAAAGTAAAACATGGCGTATGGTACATATTGTATTCTTCCTGTCGGCCTTGACATTGACTACATACATGGTACAACAGACCTTGACAGACTATTTTCAATATCATGTAAGCACCAAAACATATATTATCAGAGATGGGGAAAATGCCTACTTTCCAGATATAACACTATGTAATATTAACCCCCATAGCGATAAATTTGAGGACTATCTCAGAGATGTGTTGTTAAAAGCTTTAAATAAATCAGACATTGATACATCAGGGTTAAATGACAATGATATATTTGACATTTGGAAAACTGTTGAGAAACAGGGGATGAATGGCTGGTTGAACAATATAACCAATAGTTTGACATTTGTCCATACATCATTAACGTCTCGGCAACAGGAGATGAGTGGCCACAAGAAGGAAGACTTCATAAGAGATTGTAATATGATGGCTTGGTACGGTGAGGAAGAACAGGCTTGTAAAATGGACCATATTATTCTTCACAGAGATTTGCAAAAATTAAACTGTTATACATTTCAACTGCAGACACAACAAGATAAGCTACAAATGCGAAAAACGTGTGGAGTTTCATTTGTTTTATTCCTGGCCCCAACAAAGCATTTTGTGTTTCCCGAAATCCCAAAATATTTTCCCTCAAGTAATGGAGTGATCGTGTACATACATGAACCAAACACTATGCCATCTAAGTCAAAAGGCTTTACTGTATCCCCTGGTTTTGAAACAAGAGTCAGCATGAGTGTTGTTCACTCAATCCAACAACCAGCACCATATGGGAATTGCAAAGAGGATTTTGAAAATATTAAGAGTGGTGACCGTGAGTTTGTGTATGAATATGACACTTGTATTGCAAAATGCGCACAGGAAGCAATCACCAAAACCTGTAGATGTCTATGGGAAGAAGCTCCCCCCTTTGGTGATTATTCATATTGCAAAAATGTAAGCTTACCTATCAAGACACTCATAAACAATATGAAGTGTCAGTATGACGCTTCAACAAAGCTGGTATCAAGTTACAACAGTGGCCAAAAGCTCTGCAATCATTGTAAAGACAAATGCAAAAAATATACATATCTGAACTCAATCAGTCAGTCTGTATGGCCAGATGTCTCAACACACCTTGGAATATACAAGCAATATATCCAAAATGTTACCAAATACAAGGATTTCTTCACAGAATATGAAGAACTTCTGATAGGTAAAGGGAAAAATCTTAACATGACAGAGAAATACACAAAGCTGAGAGCTTATAATCGTGTAAAAGATAGCTTGATTAAACTCGATGTCATGCTGAACAGTAAGGATGTTATGACATATGAACAAAAGAAAATTTGGACACCAGTCAGTCTCTGTGCATCACTGGCAGCTACTCTGATCTTTGGAATAGGGTTCACATATTTTGCAGTTGCTGAAATACTTGAATGCATATTTAACATCATTAAAAGTTGCTTTAAATCTAGAAAGAACACGAGAGATTTTCAGAGCGAACCAGATAGAGATGACATAAAGATGGAGAATTTAGACCACACTGAGTACAACACTAGCACGCTTTCATGATATACAGGGTGAGCCCAAAAATTGAGCTCTTCTATATTTAGGCATTTTGATAATAATAGGTATTGAATGATACACCACTGGATATATAAAAGATGTGTGTAATTTCATTTTCAATAAAATAATATCGCTTAATTGAATTGATGAATACCTTTTATTATCATGCCTATTTTGTGAACTGTGGTGGTGATTTCTTAATCAATCAAGGCGGAAGTAATTCAAAAAGTGATTTTACAACACAGCAAAAATATCCCTACAGGCTGGCTAGGGTGTATCATATAGGGTAGAAGCTACATGTTTCATTCACATACATGTATATTATGTAGTGTTCATAGAAATTGAATTACATCAGATAGGTACCATCCATGCACAGCTAAATAACATGGAGATTGCCTAATCATAAAAGTGTATTCATTTTTTGGCCAACTCTATAGGTTCGGTTATCATAGGTTCATATGTACTTGTAAAATCAACCATTAATAATGTTGATCATCCTTCGAGAATTCTCCTTTAAAAGTAATTTCTAATATTGGAAAGGGGAACTTAATGAATTGTGGCATAACAATACATATTGCCTTTTTATCTGATGGATACTAAATATATATTGGGATAATGACACAAGATAATTTTGGTATGCACCACTAAAATTGTATCCGATTCATATGACGTCTTAAAAATAGTATCTGTCGGATACAATTTTTTCATCAGTTTTGATTTTGGCGCCAAATAACCACTGTTGTCTGTTTGATCGACAACAGTATAGTTCCAAGATTATGTGCTCCGTAAAAATGAAAATAATTTGTAAAAATAATAAAAAACGAAAAATAAAATGAAAAAATCAGAACAACTTTTAGGCTAAGTCCATACAAAAATAGTGACTTTTGAGCTATCATTTTTATGTCACCACCAAAAGTGGTGACATATTGTTATGGTCTCCGTTTTTTTTGCGACGGCGGTTGGCGTCCGGCGTCCGGCGGTTGGTGGTTGGCGTCCGGCGTCTGTAACAATTTCTTACAACTTCCTATAACTTAACAATTACTGTTTAGACTGACTTCAATTTTTTTCTAAATCATCTACATGTTCTCAGAAGTTCAAATCTGACTTTAGATTTGACATTTGACCTTCAATGACCTTCTCAAGGTCAAAAAGGTCTTTTTTCAACTTGCTTCACATTGACTAATTTTTTTTTCAAAATCATCTACATGTTCTCAGAAATTCAAATCTGACTTTAGATTTGACTTTAGATTTGACATTTGACCTTCAAATCTGACTCTAGATTTGACATTTGACCTTCAATGACCTTCTCAAGGTCAAAAAAGGTCAAAAAGGTCTGTTTTCAACTTGCTTCAAATTGACTAAATTTTTTTTCAAAATCATCTATGTGTTCTCAGAAATTCAAATCTGACTTTAGATTTGACTTAAGATTTGACATTTGACCTTCAATGACCTTCTCAAAGTCAAAAAAGGTCAAAAAGGTCTTTTTTCAACTTGCTTCAAATTGACTAAATTTTTTTTTCAAAATCATCTACATGTTCTCAGAAATTCAAATCTGACATTAGATTTGACATTTGACCTTCAAATCTGACTTTAGATTTGACATTTGACCTTCAATGACCTTCTCAAGGTCAAAAAAGGTCAAAAAGGTCTTTTTTCAACTTGCTTCTAATTGACTAAATTTTTTTTTCAAAATCATCTACATGTTCTCAGAAATTCAAATCTGACTTTAGATTTGACATTTGACCTTCAATGACCTTCTCAATGTCAAAAAAGGTCAAAAAGGTCTTTTTTCATCTTGCTTCAAATTGACTAATTTTTTTTTTCAAAATCATCTACATGTTCTCAGAAATTCAAATCTGACATTAGATTTGACATTTGACCTTCAAATCTGACTTTAGATTTGACATTTGACCTTCAATGACCTTCTCAAGGTCAAAAAAGGTCAAAAAGGTCTTTTTTCAACTTGCTTCTAATTGACTAAATTTTTTTTTCAAAATCATCTACATGTTCTCAGAAATTCAAATATGACTTTAGATTTGACATTTGACCTTCAATGACCTTCTCAAGGTCAAAAAGGTCTTTTTTCAACTTGCTTCACATTGACTAATTTTTTTTTCAAAATCATCTACGTGTTCTCAGAAATTCAAATCTGACTTTAGATTTGACTTAAGATTTGACATTTGACCTTCAATGACCTTCTCAAAGTCAAAAAAGGTCAAAAAGGTCTTTTTTCAACTTGCTTCTAATTGACTAAATTTTTTTTTCAAAATCATCTACATGTTCTCAGAAATTCAAATCTGACTTTAGATTTGACATTTGACCTTCAATGACCTTCTCAATGTCAAAAAGGTCAAAAAGGTCTTTTTTCATCTTGCTTCAAATTGACTAATTTTTTTTTTCAAAATCATCTACATGTTCTCAGAAATTCAAATATGACTTTAGATTTGACATTTGACCTTCAATGTCCTTCTCAAGGTCAAAAAAGGTCAAAAAGGTCTTTTTTCAACTTGCTTCAAATTGACTAAATTTTTTTTTCAAAATCATCTACATGTTCTCAGAAATTCAAATCTGACTTTAGATTTGACATTTGACCTTCAATGACCTTCTCAAGGTCAAAAAAGGTCAAAAAGGTCTGTTTTCAACTTGCTTCAAATTGACCAACTTTTTTTTCAAAATCGTCTACATCTTTTCAGAAGTTCAAATTTGACGTTTACAAGTTCTCAGAAGTTCAAATCTGACTTTAGATTTGACCTTTGACCTTCAATGACCTTCTCAAGGTCAAAAAGGTCTTTTTTCAACTTGCTTCAAATTGACTAATTTTTTTTTCAAAATCATCTACATGTTCTCAGAAGTTCAAATCTGACTTTAGATTTGACATTTGACCTTCGATGACCTTTTCAAGGTCAAAAAGGTATTTTTTCAACTTGCTTCAAATTTACTTAATTTTTTTTTTCAAAATCATCTACATGTTCTCAGAAGTTCAAATCTGACTTTACATTTGACATTTGACCTTCAATGACCTTTTCAAGGTCAAAAAGGTCTTTTTTCAACTTGCTTCAAATTTACTTAATTTTTTTTTTCAAAATCATTTACATGTTCTCAGAAGTTCAAATCTGACTTTACATTTGACATTTGACCTTCAATGACCTTCTCAATGTCAAAAAAAGTCAAAGAGGTATTTTTTCAACTTGCTTCAAATTGACGAATTTTTTTTTCAAAATCATTACATGTTTTAAGAAGTTCAAATCAAACCTTCTTAAGGTCAAAAGGTATTTTCCAACTTGCTTTAAATTGACCAAATTGTTTTAGGTGGTGACATTTTGTCATGATAATGCCTTGTTATCCATTTATTGCCGATCTCCACTCATTCACTCTATTTATACTTAGGGATTATCTAATCTTTTAAATAATATTTTATTCATGAGCCTACATTTACAAGAATTATAAATGCATGGCATATTTAGTGAAAAGGCTTATGTTTTTATGTATTGTTATATCTAATTATAAAATGTATTCCTAAAAATGTTGCATATTTTATCATATTGCCTTCAAACATAAATATATTCTTGTTTGTCATTAGGATATTGCTGCGAAATTATCTCTTTTTATTAGGCTATTTTTGTTGTAACGAGGCTTTAGAGATATTTTCAATTCAGCAGTGATCCTCTCATGATATTTTTCAGTTGATTAATTTTTTACATGATTTTTTTCTTGTAGAATTCATTAAACTAATACAGATGAATGTTTTTATAGAAATATCACTTTCACCCGACCTTTGCTTAGGACACTTTTAAGTTCACCCAGTTGGTGATAATTTTAGAAGACAACTCATTTAACTAGAGAGAGAGGAAGGAAAATATACTTTTAACGATTTAAGAGAAAATGGTCAATTTTCTTTATCAAAAACTGATTATTTTTAGCTCAATGTTAATGTGTATTTTGTATAATGAATTCAAAACTACATTGATATGCATTATATGAGGCCAAACCTCTTGGAGTTTACATGTTTACAATCCAATTCCTTATTTTCTGAGTATTGAGAGTTCAACTCTTAGAAAACACAACTATCATATTTTCTTACAAAAGTAGAATTTATTCACCGCTATTCCCAATCAAAAGTAGAAGTACTAAAACAAAATGTCATAACTTGATGTGTTATTTACATATAATCCATTTATGATCAATCTTACTCCAAAGCTACTATCTATATTCAAATCATAAAATGGTTATTTTCCAATTATGGAAATGGTATATAAACTGACTTCTGCAAAACATGAGATAAAAAGTAAGTTATGATTAAGGGTCTTCATTTCAAAACACTGCATCATACTCATACACAAAGTGATGATAGGATCAGAAATTGCCAAGAAAGAACCAACTGTTCAATGTTATACAAAACATTAAAAACTTTACAGCCAGAATTATACAATATAATAATACAATGTATAATATATGGAATCATAAACTCATTTAGGAAAATATTACCAAGATGTACAATGACAAAGGAAAATATGGCTCATACAACCGTGGGCGTGAAATAGAACCAATGATATTGTGCTTCGACGTACCATATCTGTGAACATGCATAAAAGTAATATGAATACTCTTTGACAATTCATTTACAATGTTAAAATAACTGTTGTTTTAACTCTCATATGTCAGATATATTACGAGCCTGAAGACATTCACTGAAAATTCAATGACCGCATATGCGCATAGAGAAATGATACATCATATCAATTAATATGTCTGGCTTCAGAATGTTTTTTATTTGACAATTCCTAGGCACTAGATATTTGAAGAATTGACCAATGTAATCTTTATTACAATTGATGAAAATGTACTCATCACATTCTTACAATGGAATTCAACTAAGCTCAATTGTTAAGACTGAGAATAACATCTGAGCCAGGCCACAGGAAAAGGGGTCTTATCACAGATTTTTTCAATGTTTTGATTTTTTGTTTTTCTTAAAAAGGACAAAGAGACCTTTCAGATGAGCCATGGCTTATATCTTAACGATTTTTCCTTGTAGATATAGACCAAAAAGACGAATTTGAATTTAGCACATTTTCCTCTTAATCTTGGGCACATTTTTGGCTCTGTAGCACAATTTAAATGTTTGTGATAAGACAAGTTTTCCTATGGCGAGGCTCATCTTATGAATGCAACAGTTCACTGTCTTATCACCAGTGGCTGGACACACACTAGTAGTAAAAATCCTTATTCCATTTAATGTAATCAAAAGCACAGAATTACTGCTTTGAAATATGTATACAATGAGACAGATCTTAAACAGAAATATATATCTTTAATATGTATCTTTAAAATCCTTATATTGCATATATGAATTTTGACACAAATTAATTGATCAAAAAATGAACTGTACAGTACATACTATTCTATAATTCTCCATGAACATATAAATCAAAACACACAAATGTGGAAATTAACTTCTCAAGTTATATTTACAGTAATATTGTTGTACTTTGGAAGCACCAGACTTACATTCATCCTCAGATCATAATGAAATAATTTATCAATAAATACTATCTCCTCATATACAATAATATATAAATAATGACCTGTCATTATGTCCTGCTCAAGTACATGTATGAAATAAGTTAAATAAAATATTTACAGATTGCTTAGTGAACACCTTTATACTTGAAGAACACCTTTTTATTTGGGTGAATGCCTTAATACTTGAAGAACACCTTTTTATTTGGATGAATGTCAATGTACTTGGTGAAAACTTTTTCATTTGGGTGAATGCCTTTATACTTCAAGAACACCTTTTTATATGGATGAATGTCTTTGTACTTGGTGTAACACCTTTTTATTTGGGTGAAACTTCTGATGAACACCTAAGTATTGTACTTCGTGAATCTCCTTGTACTTGATGAAAACCTTTTTACTTGGAGAACACCATTGTACCACCCGGATGTTATCTTATAATTGAAAATCAATATCAGTGTTGTAGGTTATTTCAGAATGCATGTAATAATTTCAACCCAACATCAGACAATCATAGTCAGTATGAGTCTCAGTCAATATAATGTGCTTGATATTAGTTCACCTTATTCCTTCATTAAGGCTATTAAAATTTAATTTTTGTTTACTGGTGCCTTCCCATTTATCTTACCTATCTTACTTAATCATAATCCAATCAAATAATTTATTTCAGGTCATAATTGTATCCCTGAAGTGAACTAAATGACAAATCATTTTACATGACATATAAGATGCAGTTTTCAGAGAATATAAGATAGAGTTTGGGCAATAAATAATTAGTCATGGATTTGCTGAAGTGAGGATATTCCATGATAAAAACAAGAGCATTTCCAAGAGGCCATAGACCAGTGGATGAGTGTATACAAAATGTAAAATATAGACTGTGACCCATTCTGTAGAAGTGCTCTAGAAATGCAACCTTCCTTACATTAATATACATATTTTAGGGAATATGTATCGAGACATTATTGGAAACTATGGGCTTTCAAATCACCATGGTTTGGAAATGATGATGAAAATTGACTACTCATTTATTTATTGCCCTAACTGTACATTTAATTTTACATAGGATCCAAAAATAATATACTTTCACTTTATTCTGCTGTTATGCTTGTATTTCTCAAGTAGAATGAATGGAATGCAATTAAGATGGTCAGACACAAAATGATGTACTTGTATTGCTATGTTCATTCTTTTTGAAGTGTGGACATTTGTCAGGAATTGCACTGTCAAATATATATATAGATTATCCTATGTGAGGTTCAGGATATTGGAATTATCCAGAGTCTAACGTGTATAATGTATGTGCCCACTCAGTTGGGATGTAAAGCTGTATCCTGTCTGCTGATTAAAAAACAACTCTATAAAAGCCTGCTTTATGTGTTTCAAACACGTCCAAATATGGGATAAAGATAATTACAGCCATGGGATATTGTTGAATATCACATTAATAATATCATTTCTGAGGAATAAATAAATGTCCTCACACTGCACTTTACATATATCAAATACGAAATGATTTTACAATACACAGAAATAACTGTAATGCACATTACAAAAACAATTTCTTCTTTTCACAAGTTCAGTTCAGTATTTATAACAGGTGAAAAGGATCAGGATGTGATTCAAAACGTCCTGTGAAGTTTAAAATAAAGGTTGTGAAAAGAAATAAAATCATTTTTGCGATTTGATAATCCAATGTGAAGAACGTGTTTAAGAATATAATGCACATTGTATATACAGTAAAACTATTTCTCTCATGAACACCTCTCCCTATTGGATGTAGTGAACATCTACTTAAAGTGAAACTTTTTGTAAGATCTTCAGTTTACACAAGTCTTACTCTTCCTGTACTGTACAGTTATTTGTGTATAAATGGATAAGTCTGAATGGCACAATTGACATTCATTGAGAAGATTATTATCCCATTATATGATATGTAAGTTTCATTTCAGATGGATTCAGATAAAACTGAATTGTCATCATATTGTATAATATTTCTTCTTCCTTCATACCCACCAAACATTAGACAAATTGCACATATTTTGATTGAAGTCATCTGTCACAGTTTACCACCTATACCATTTGGGTCCTATACCCAGTAGTCTGGGTATTACACCATAGGAATTGATAATACAGTAACACTATTATTGCATCACTAGCTTTTCCCGCAGCATCCTCCTTTCTTCTTAACATCGCCATTTTGCCCTAATTGCACTGACTTCTCTAGCTCCCGATCTTCCTTCTCTGTTAGAACTCTGCAAATATAGAGGAGAATATTGAAAATATAGAGGTGAAGATTGAAATTATATGGGTGAATAGTGCAAACATAGATGTAAATATTGCAAATATAGAGTAAATTACTGCAAATGAATAGAGTCAAATACTGTAAAGATAGAGGTAAACACTACACAGAGGTGAATATTGAAACTACAAGTATATGGTAGAGGTAAATACTGCAAATGGGAAATATTAATATTTACACAAATATAAAGGTAAATGTAAATAAATACTGCAAAAAATGGAGGCAAAAACTGAAACTATAAGTATATAGTAGAGGTAAATACTGCAAATATAGCAGTAAAAACTGAATATGCTGAGGTAGATACTCTAAATTAACTAGAAAAACAGCAACTCCACAGAGTAGCAAATCCCACCGAACAAAACACATCTTGGCAATTAGTGGCCATCTTGAAAATTTCATCTTGAACCGAGCATATTCAGCTTCTTAAATTTTATCTGTTCACTGGTATTTGAGTTATCAAAGATTATGTTTCTTTACAAAAAATGGTGGCCATTTAGAAATACAGCTACCATGTTGGTACATGAAAAATGGTGGCGATTTTAAAATACAGCTGCCATCTTGAAAATTTCTAAAGTAGATCTCCTTTGCCCCTAGGTAGCAGCATATAAAATTTGAACCGAATCTGTTCACTGGTATAAGTATTTTTTACGAAAAATGGCAACCATTTTGAAAATCAGCCGCCATCTTGAAAATTGTTTCTCAAACAGGGCTACTGTGTCCCTAGACATCAGAATATCAAATTTGAACTAAATCCGTTTACTGGTATTTGAGTTATCAAAGATTACATTTTTTTGGGAAACATGTGGCCGTTATCAAAGATTTAGTTTTCTTGTGAAAAATGGCGGCCATTTTGAAGATCAGCAGCCATCCTGAAAATCTCTTCTTGAATCAAAGCTCCTTTGTCCTAGGCATCAACATATGAAATTGGAACCAAATCTATCCACTAGTAATTGAGTTATTATAGATTTCATTTTTTATGAAAAATGGTGGCCATTTTAAATTGAGTGGCCATATTAAAAATTCCTTCCCGAGCAGAGGTCCTACACCCATAAGGCATAAGCCTGTAAAATTTGGGGACTTTATCTTTATAAGTGGTTATACTTTTGGGTATTTCATCTTCCAAATCTGTTTTTAAGATCTTTTAGGGTAATGCATTTGGCCATTTAGCCATCCAATGTTAATAAAGTAAATGTAACAAAACGAGATAAATCATAACAATGTATAGGTTTTGTTAATCAACTCGATGTCATCTCATATAAAAGCCATTATTTCCACAGCAATACATATAATAATGGCATTTTTGCAGGCTTTAACTATACATTAGTTTAATGAAATAACAGGTAGAAGGGGGTCGATGGAAAAATACAATGAAGGAATGAATTCAAAGCATATATGCTAACATATTCAACATCGATCCATCACATACCAATAATTCATAAAGAATTAAGCCAAAAAGGAAAATATGGGAAAATTTTAAAACAAGACCCCATCAAATATATCTAAAATATTTAAAACACCAGGATATGTGACAAAGAATTATGGGGCTTGTTTACTACTCACTGACAAGGCTAAAAAGTCCATCATAACCGCAATATTCTTAATTTCTTCAAAAATGGTAATTTTGAAAGTCTCCCTTTGTGTTTATGTATATTGCAATGTTGCATTAATTCTTCACTGCTGACTTGCCATATATTCACTGAAAGAGGATGATGTGTACAAGTAGCATACGATAATTACGATATCTGACAAAAGTTATTTCAGTTCTAGAAATGAACCTCTGAACCAACACAATGCGAACCTAAAATGCCACAATATTTCACAGAGTACTTAAAGCAGTCAGAGATGCCACAACTGAGACAAAGAAGAAATGACTATAATTCTAACCCAAAAGAAGTAATCATAAAATTCATGAAAACAACATCAATACGAGGACTCCCAAGAATAATCAACAGTGAAAGCAAAATATGGCGTATGGTACATGTTCTGTTCTTCTTGGCAGCCTTGGGATTGACTAGTTATATGGTTACAAACCTACTGGAAGAGTACTTTGAATATAAAGTAACTACAAATGTCAATCTCAGCAGAAATAGGGGAAATACACACTTTCCAGATATAACACTATGCAACATTAATCCACACAGTATGATGTTTGATGGATTTAAAAAGAACATTTCAAATAAAATATCTGAGATTAAATCACAAAAGTATGAAGACAAACTTGGAATTTCCAACACTCATGAGGGTCTGGGGAAGGAAGAGAGGTGGTTGAGAGATATTCATGAAAGTAGAATATACATCCATGCATCGTTAACTCCACAGCAACAGGAGATAAGTGGTCATAAGAAGGAAGACTTCATAAGAGATTGTAAACTAAAAGTCTGGTATGGAAAGGAAAACAAAACATGTAAAATGAAACACATACGCCTTTTTAGAGATATGGAGAAACTGAACTGCTACACATTTCAGTTGCAAACTCAAGAACTGAACAAAAAGCGAATGCACAAATTACGTGGAGTTTCATTTGTATTATTCCTGGCTTCAACACATCATCAATACGTGTTTCCCGATATCCCAGAGAATCATCCTTCAAGTAATGGAGCGATAGTGTACATACATGAACCGAACACTATGCCACCCAAATCAAGTGGCTTTACTGTATCCCCTGGATTTGAAACAACAGTTGGCATAGATGTTATCAACTCAATCCAAGAACCAGCACCATATGGCAATTGCAATAACACAAGTAATAACATAAAAAGTGGAGCGAATGAGTTTGCATATGATCATACCACATGTATTGCAAAATGTGCCCAGGATTCAATCACAAGAGTATGTGGCTGTTTATGGGAAGAATTTCCCCCCTTTGGAGAGTATGATTCGTATTGCAAGAACACAAGCCTGCCTTTTGAAACTTTCATTAACAATACTGAATGTCTAAAAAATACCACAGAGAAACTAAAATCCAGACGAAAGCATTTGTGTCCTGATTGCAAAGAGAAATGCAACAAATATAGATATCAGAACTCAATCAGCCAATCTTTATGGCCAGATGTCTCAACACACCTTGGAATATACAAGCGATATATCCGAAATATTACCACATACAACCAGTTCTTCACAGAATATGAAGATCTTCTGACTGGAAATGGGACAAATATTACCATGATAGAGAAATACACAAAGCTGAGAGCTTATAATGGTGTAAAGGATAGCTTGATTAAACTTGATGTTATGCTGAACAGTAAGGATGTTCTGACATATGAACAAAAGAAAATGTTGACACTTGTCAGTCTCTTGTCATCGTTGGGGTCTACTCTGATCTTTGGAATAGGGTTCACATATTTCGCTTTTGCTGAGATATTTGAATGCATATTTTACATCATTAAAAGTTGCTTTCGGAGAGAGATCAGAGATGTTCAAACAACACCAAATAATGTTGATATTCCATTAGAGGATACACCAGGTACATCATCTAAAGCACAATATTCATGAATAATTCAAATGCATGTACATAAACAGGGTGGTAAAAACCAGAAACCCTGACCCATTTTCCTTCTATCTTCATTATTTCATGGAATTACTCCAGGATATCTTGCACATTTGTATATCATTAAATTTCCTACCAGCCTACTGTATTTCATGACCATCATTAAGTCACATTGTTACAGAACTCTAAACAACATGGTCCTCTTCAATGACTGAATTATCAGCATGAGAACAGATAATGAGGAATGCAGTCAGGTCATTGACAACTTTGGATGATATGTACAGGTTTGCATACAGCCTGGTGGTGACCACCTAGAGTATGTTGTTTAAAGTGCTGTAAAATTGTGACTATCAGTCTGATGGTCATAAAATATGGTGGGCAGATAGGAAATGGGTACACACAGGTGACAAAGGGAAAGGACCAAATATTGTTACAGAACACAGAAATAATCTGAGAGGACACCAGTTATAAAGAAAACAAACCCCAACTAACCAGATGTACTGTAGATTGGGTTAATTTGGCGCTACTTAATTTGGCGATTTTGCCATTTTTGGCATATTGGCGGCTATTTAATTTGGCGGATATGCCAAAAAAATGTTAATGGAATGTTAAACTTACGCGCTGTTTGCGAATTACCATGTAGATCTAGATCTAAATGGGCATGTTTGGCTATGTTCATTTTGTCTTTTGAGGACCACTGGCGATATTCACCACGTTTGTACATTTTTGTGAGATCATCCTTTACATTTTACACCTCAATCGATGCTGCTACTTTTCCCTGAGTATAAATGAGTGACTGACCAGTTCTGAGCCAATTTATGAGAGACATTTTTTCATATTTTTGGAAAAAATAAACCGGAAGTGACCTTAATACACTGGACGAAATACCCTAGATGATTCCCGGGGATTCATTCTAAATTTTGGCGGAGATTTATATTGGCGAATTTTTCAATTTCGCCAAATTCGCCAAATTAAAGCGGGCGCCAAATTAACCCAATCTACAGTAATCAAAAGTTATGTAATCCTATTGGCGGACATGGAGGAAGTGTCATCCATGTGGGTAATTGTCGGACAAACGACTTCATATACTGAGTGTCCGACAACACAGCACTGCCTCCCTGCACTCTATATGTACAACATGTCCCCAACAATAGTTGATCTGATACATACTGGCTGGAATCACACAGAGAAGACTTACAAAACAAGTTTTTGGGACAGAAAGTCCAAAATGGCCATTTACGAATTTACCCAGAATGCCCAAAGATGAAACAGTTTTAGACTTTTATACCAAGAAACATCCCTGAAATTTTCAGACTGATTCATGAAATGGCTTGGCTCAAAACATTCAGAGAGGAGCTTTAGAGATAAGCTCTTAGGACGGAAAATCCAAATTGGACAACTTAAAATTAATCAAGAATGCCCTAAACTAATCAGTTGCAAAGTTTCATGCCAAGAAACATATCTAAAAATTTCAGATCAATCCATCGAATGGTTTGGGTAGAAATCTGTAGACAAGACTTCACAAATACAAGATTTTGGGACAGCAAAATCATTTTGATTTTTCTCTCTTTTATTCCAGTTTAATAATACATACAGGTAGAGATTATCCTATATGAGGTTCAGGAGATTGGGATTATCCCACGGCCGATACAATATATCTGCCTGAGGGCCATAGGTCCCAAGGGTAGATATATTATATTGGCCAAGGGATACTCCCAATATCCTGAACCAACTATAGGATGATCTGTTTATCCCATACGAATCTTGTTCAACTGGTTCACATTGTTCAGTTGGCCCGAGTTAAGAAATAAGAAAAAATCAACTGTAGGAATTCTTTTAAAATATTCATGTCCAGTTTTGATTTTTTTGCCGTAGTAAGATTTTCCTGTTCTTTCAGAGAGATATTCATTCGTCCAAGTATGGGATAACTTGAAATATACAATAAATAGACTGCCAAAATTAAAAAATTGGTGGCAGTGTTTTATAGAAAATATGCAGGAAAAATATAATAAACTAAATTATTTCATAAAATTACTGTTAACAGTAACATGTTATTTATGAAGCTACTCGTTTGCTCAATGACTTTTCTTAAGATGTTCAAATTGGCTATCATGACTGAGCCATCATGTCCAAACCTAATCAGATAAATTGAAGTGACTGAACTAAGTTGCTATTTGTGTTAATTCATACAATAGCTGTCTATTATTAAATACATGGGGTAACATTTAATAACTGGATGTTTTATTTAGACTATATATTAGTAAATGAACCAGTAAGGGAAAATGTAATAAATGCTAGAACGTACAACATTCCTTTGTGTATATGCTTTAGAAAACAAGCTCTAATTCCACTTATGTAATGTAGAGAATGTTGAAACATCTTAAACCGTTGATCTTTATAAATTCATTTAAAAAACCACTGTTAGGAAAAAGCCATCAGTAACACATAATATTTCCATATGGAAACTTTGAAATAGTCATTATTAACTTTTCTCCAATTTGTAAATGTCAGTGTTTCACAAGCCCATGCTACAGTCATAATAGATTCACTGAGGAGCGACTGCAAGAGAAAGACAAACTTTACAATGTTGATTCCATTAATGTATGGACTGGCATATTAATGTTTACTATTATCAAAGATGGAGCAAACCAGACAAAGAAAAAAGGAGAACAATACGAGCCCGAAGGAAGAACTTGTAAAATTCATGAAAACAACATCAATACGTGGACTCCCAAGAATAGTTAACAGCAAAAGCAAAATATGGTGCATTGTGCATATTCTATTCTTCTTGGTGGCCCTGGGGTTGACTTTGTATATGGTACAAAACACACTGAAAGAGTACTTTGAATATAAAGTAAGTACAAAGGTCGATCTCAGAAGAAATGGGGAAAATACTCACTTTCCAGATATAACACTTTGTAACATTAATCCTCACAGCAAAACGTTTGACAACTTTGTTCAAGGTGTACAACGGAAAGCTATGAGCAAACTGAATTCACCAGCATCGAAACTAATCAAGAACAAGGATAAACATGCAATTAACCAGGAAATATCAAAGAATTCCAAAGGGATGTGGATGGAAAATGTTGTCGAAAGTAAAACATTTGTCCATTCATCATTATCACCAAAGCAACGGGAGATGAGTGGTCATCAGAAGAAACACTTCATAAGAGAATGTAAACTAAAAGTCTGGTATGGAAAAGAACACTCGTGTAAAATGGAGAAGATACGTCTTTTCAGAGATCTGGAAAAACTGAACTGCTACACATTTCAGCTTTATACTCCAAAATTAGATAAGAGACTAATACAACGAGTACGTGGAGTATCATTTGTTTTATTCCTGGCCCCATCAGACCCAGAAGTGTTTTATGAAATCCCAGAGAATGTTCCCTCAAGTAATGGAGCGATTGTGTACATACATGAACCAAACACTATGCCATCTAAGTCAAAAGGCTTTACCGTATCCCCTGGTTTTGAAACAAGAGTCAGCATGAGTGTTGTTCACTCAATCCAACAACCAGCACCATATGGCAATTGCAAAGAGGATTTTGAAAATTTTAAGAGTGGTGACCGTGAGTTTGTCTATGAACGTGCTACATGCTTTGCAAAATGTGGACAGGATGCCATCAAAAAATCCTGCAACTGTTTATGGGAAGAGAGCCCTTCATTTGATGACAATCATACATCATATTGCATTAACATGAACTTGTCTAGCAAGTCACTCAAAAATAATACCACATGTCTACAAAAGGCAATAAGGGAGTTGAAACCTTTCAAATTCAAGCATCAGTGTTCTCACTGCAAAGAGAAATGCAGCACATATAGGTATCAGAATTCAATCAGTCAATCTGTATGGCCAGATGTCTCAACACACCTTGGAATGTACAAGCAATATATCCAAAATATTACCACATACAAGGAGTTCTTCACAGAATATGAAGAACTTCTGACAGGTAAAGGGAAAAATCTTAACATGGCAGAGAAATACACAAAGCTGAGAGCTTATAATGGTGTAAAAGATAGCTTGATTAAGCTTGATGTTATGCTGAACAGTAAGGATGTTCTGACATATGAACAAAAGAAAATGTGGACACTTGTTAGTCTCTTGTCATCGTTGGGGTCTACTCTGATATTTGGAATAGGGTTCACATATTTCGCTTTTGCTGAGATATTTGAATGCATATTTTACATCATTAAAAGTTGCTTCAGGAGAGAAATCAGAGATGTTCAGAGAGACAATGTTGATATAAACTTGAAGAATGTTGGTGGAAGGTTCGCTAGTCATAGAATGACAATGTAACGTATGTGGGACATCAGTAAACATTGTACAAGAGATTTGGCATCTGTAAGACATTGTACAATAGATGAGATATCAGTATGGCATTATACAATAGGTTGAGCAATAGTATGACATTGTACATAGTAGTGAGGCATCAGTAAGACATTGTTGAGATTGGACATCAAATTGACAATATACAATAGATGAGAGGCCAGTATGGCATTATACAATAGATGAGAGATCAGTATGGCATTATACAATAGATGAGATATCAGTATGGCATTATACAATAGGTTGAGCAATAGTATGACATTGTATATAGTAGTGAGGTATCAGTAAGACATTGTTGAGATTGGACATCAAATTGACAATATACAATAGATGAGAGGCCAGTATGGCATTATACAATAGATGAGAGATCAGTATGGCATTATACAATAGATGAGATATCAGTATGGCATTATACAATAGGTTGAGCAATAGTATGACATTGTATACAGTAGTGAGGTATCAGTAAGACATTGTTGAGATTGGACATCAAATTGACAATATACAATAGATGAGAGGCCAGTATGGCATTATACAATAGATGAGAGATCAGTATGGCATTATACAATAGATGAGATATCAATATGGCATTATACAATAGGTTGAGCAATAGTATGACATTGTATATAGTAGTAATGCAGTTATGTGAAATAGCATCTTCGGATGGGCTGGAATCAGACCCAACTTGCCTTGCTATGTCCGAATATAATATACAGGATGAGCAAAAACATGTCACTCAAACAAATGTTAGTAACTCATTTGTAATTTATCATGGGTTTAGTAATTAAAAACCTTGTTCAATGCTCTTCGAATAATTCTACTAAGTTTATTTGGTCTATTTCCAGTGTCATGATTTTATGGCCATTTTACAAAACATGCTGTAAAATACTGGCATTTTGTCTAGAGGCTAACTTGAATGTATCAGACACATGCACAGAATCTTGTGTTTTTCTCTTGTACAATGTTTCAAGGGTTGTTGGTGCAGACATTAGTCCCACCATGGGTTTTCAATTGAAAGCCCATGGTCCCACATATGATAGTCTATGTTGTGGGATTATATCTGGTGAGTGTGACATGTTTCGGCATTTGGAGCATGTTTTGTAAATGACCATGAAATCATATACAATATAAACCAATGAAAATTAGTAGAAGGAAAAAACATTTAACTAGGTTTAATTGTGCCATCAAGATCAAACTAATGCCCATAACTAGCTTTTCATTGTGGAATTACTATACTCATGTTCTTTCATAGATTTTGATATTCAAATGTGAAAAACCATAGTGAAACACCTAGAAGTGGTTGGGAGGTCAACATTTAGATATACACTGCAGAGCATTTCAGGAAAATATTATTTGAGGTATCAGTGAAATTCTGTCCATCATCCCCTGGTTATGGTCCGACATGTATAAAATGTATACCCCATTTCTATATGATTTTGTAAAATTAAGAAATCTTTTACCTGGCCATTGCCTGGATGGCTTCAGCAACATTTGCGCCTGACTTTGCACTTGTCTCGAAAAACAGTGAATCAAATTCCTGAAAGAGAAAACATGTGCTGTAGCGTAACCAGGATAAGGTAGATGAGGTTATTGCCTCTCGCTTTTTAACATGCATCTTTTGAGATCTATTCTATCAATGAAATGAATCAAATACCTGAAAGAGAAAACATGTGCTGTAGCGTAACCAGGATGACGCAGACGAGGTTCTTGCCTCTCGCTTTTTAACATGCATCTTTTTTTATTATTAAAATCAATGTAACATATATACAGGTTTAGTGGCTATGATCCCCAAGAGGGAATATTAGGTGCCACATTATGGTATTTACAATGATTTGTGAAATATTATAAGAAGTGTACATGTAATTGTGTAAAGTATGATATTGATCTTTTGAGATATATTCTTCGATCAATGAAGTTGTAAATTTATTGTATAATCAATTTTAGATTCAATTGTGCATAACCTCCCCATGTAAGATTATCATTGCATTATTGCCAGCATTGCATTGAGTTCGTATTCTAATGGTGTTTTACCTAACTTTACATTTTATCACCTATTATATATTTTAGCTAACATTATCTGGGACTTTATGAGACTTTAAATGCACAATATATAACAAAAATATATTTAATTCACAAACTATGCAAAATCATATAGTGTAAATGCATAACAATCTTTTATTCAAAAAATACAATTCCATGTATTTGTGCTCATAATATACAGAATATAACCTTTAATATATTTACATTAGTGGCAGAGGAGAGGTTTTGATAGGATTCCAATGTTTCGGAAAATGTTATCAACTTGATAGCTTATATCAGTATTACATGTCTGAATATTTACATACAGCTTTGTTATTATATAGCCTTTCAGTTTATCAATAAATGTCACAAAATAATTGTTTTGTCTGTTTTGTAATACAAGCGCCTGACACAGTAGTGTTTAGATTAGAATGTCAATGTTGTTTTAGTCTATGAGTATTATGTATTGTATATTTTCCTTGGCTCCAGGCTTGAGCCAGGAGGGTTTGGGGGGTTCCCCTGGCCCAAAATTCCTTCAAAATCATGCAGTTTTTCAACATTCTGAGCACTTTTCATGTGATTTTGGCCATTTTTGGGCCAAAGTAAAGTACAAAGTAAAAAAATACCCCGCTGGTATCTTTTAAAAAGTGAATTCCCCTCAAATCCTTGCTATCTATTTATATTGTAAATCATGTAATCTACAAATAACATACAGAAATTCTATCAATTAGGCAGTTTACTTCTTCACTCTGTAATGGGCTTTCAAGAGACAAGCCCATGACTCTATGCACAAACACAGTTTGACAGTTGCAACATATTTATGAACATGGCATTAACATGACAAAATTCCACTACCTTGTTGTAATTGCAAAAGTGTAACCACTTGTCACAGATGCCAAAAGTGGACATTGATTTAAATGACAGTTACATGAAGAGGCTCGGTGATGACATAATAATAAAATGGGTCGTTGACCATTGACCAATCAATCAACAACTCAGGCTTAGTTATGAGTTTGTAGGTCTGTGAATCAATGCAATGAAAAGGAATCCTAGGTCTGTTTCCAGTGATACATGTAATGCAAAAGGTATGAATCATTCCAAAATTATTCCTATTACTCATTTTGAAAGCGGTCTCCTATCCCCTAATCTAATAAATTAGATATTATATGGTAAATTGCAACAGATCTTTACAACTGCTCAGATGACATTTAAATTTCCTAATATGACATTTGAATAATGTTCTTTATTATTCAAAATGTGACACCCTGGTGAAAATTACCCTGGCCTGCTGATGGAGATCTAAGAGTGACACCTTTATGACTTTGATAAATGTTTTACACATAAGTGTACTCCAATAATAATGTGACATGCACTGATTATGCATACTCCATATTTACTACTTTTTTACACATAATGTACTATATAAGTATGCCATCTTTCAATAGGTTTAATAACTATTTGATCACATGACAAGGTCACATATACTCTTTAGTATGGGTAAAGATTTTCACTAGCTGCTACGGGTAAGCCCTTGTTACTTTACCAAACCCATACTCACAGCCTAGCAGTCTCTGTAGCCAGGCACACCTTCACTTCTGGTCACTCTTTTATAATAGTTTCATATTTTATGAACAGATAAGGCAGTTCTACGCCTTTGTGAACAGATTAAGGTAGTTCTACACTTTTATGGATTAAGGTATTTTACACGAACTGATACAGTATATATGATATATGAAATTAAAATACAGTTTGGTTTCTGTTTATTGGACTAAACGTCCCTCACAATAACATCCTCTGGAGTCATTCACTTAAATACTGTGAATGATTCATCACCTTCACACAGCTTAACATTTTAAAAAGAAACTCACATGAGCTAAATTATCGCCATCTTTAGTTTTCACAGGCCGGACTTTATCATTGGCTGAGAGATCAGTTTTATTCCCAACTAAAAGAAGTACTGTGCCTTCATCAGTCCCCTCTTCAACTGATGTCATCCAGTTTCGTACATTGGTGAATGACGCCTCTGAGGTGACATCATACATGACTAGAACTCCGTCTGCTTTACGGAAGTATTGCTTGGTAATACTGCGGAACCTGAAACCATAAGATGATTGAGAACAGGTTTATATCTTATATTGTACGAATAATATTAATTTAGGACATTTTTAATTTTCAAAATGGTCTATGTAGCTGAGGTTCTTTCTGTTACAAACAAGCCTCACTTTTTCTATACTCTATATTCTTTGATCTTGCATGTATACGTAGCATCAAACATCAGATTCAAATGCTTGCTACTTACAAGGAGAAAATGATGATGCTTCAATTTCTGGTTTTAAGTAACAAGCATTTGAATTAAATTCAAACTCCCTCAAAATGCATGAGCATGCTAATACCTAATAATAATTAGCACAAAAACTGCTTTACCATCTGCATTAGGCAGAGACCAGTGTAGTAAGTTAATGTGGAATCATGGTTAGTATCTTGTCTCTAACAAGTGTTTTGAAATATAAAATGCTCATACCTCTCCTGACCTGCAGTGTCCCACAGCTGCAGCGCTACCAGATGACCATCTACAGTCACAGAGCGGACTTGGAAGTCAACACCTGCAATATTCAGAATTCAACACACATAGAACATTGTTGAAAAGAAGAAAATTCGGAGAAAAGGATGCTACACAGCCTTTAATCTACAAAGTTACAGGGTGGGCCAAAATATGTTATCCTTGAGATAGCGTACAATAGTGTACAATCAAAATGGGTAAACATTTTTGGCCCAACCTATAGTTTATCAAATACATGAACTTACAAATATCAAATACGTGTACTTACAGTTTACATCCAATTCAAAATAACAGTTTAATTCAATTTAGTATAACTTCATAATGATCATATTGTATTGTAAAAGTTCAGAGCTTCTCATTTGGAGATGATAGAGATGGTTTGGAGAATTTCATGAATAACTAACCAAGTGAAAAAAAACAAACAAAAAAACAAACAAACCTATAGTTGCACTGAAGCTTGGCTTGAACTGATTATTACAGAATTGATGTATAAAGCTGCTCTTTCCGACCCCACTATCGCCAACAAAAACCACCTTGAACAACCTCTCTGGTGTGGCTGGCTGGGTGTCCTAAAACAAGCAATTATGTGCACATGAATTATGAGGGTTCCATTTATATGAAATTCAAATGAATTCCAACAACTTTCTTTCACTTGGGTGTTCTCTGTTATTCTTAAGATAAATGTTCATGATGCTGCCATGTTGAGTCCTGACCTCTTTGCACTGATGTTGAGTCCTGACCTCTTTGCACTGATATGGATGTGCACCCCTTATCGATTGAGAATGTTAATAAAGTTACAGAGTTACAGACTGCACAATGCTTATATGGTCTAACATTAAACTAATTGATTGCTGGCACAACACCTACCTCTTTATCCTGAGAAGCATGTCCCCCTACAGGTTGACCACGGGTCGATGAGTTCACTGAGTTGAAGGCAGAGATATCAGGCTGTGAAATACTGTGTCCTATCAGCTTGCCTTGACGTAGATTGCCGTTCCTGTCATGCCCAGAACTACAACACAATCATTAAACTACTAGTATAGGCCTAGTACAATATAGGTAGCTAGCTCTGAATTATAGTTCATTTCTTTTTGAGCAATTATTTTTATTTACGAATATCTTTTCGTTTGTGAGAAACACAACATGCATGCCATTGTTTGATCAGCTCATCAATTTGCTAATTTATTGTTATTCATTGTACAATGTTGTGTGTATTCCTATGTGTATTGTACTACAGACAGTTTTGTTCAAGATCTGAATTTAGTCTTACTTATTCCAAGGCCTGTTCCACTGTTTGAATTAAAATAAATCTTACAAATTTTCAAAAACTTCTTTAATTCAAAACAGATATGGACAATGCACAATTGGCAACTAACATCGAAAAGCTGTACACATTGGACAACTACAAATAAGAATGATAGGAACATGCACATGGAGTAGCAAATCCCATCAAGCAATATATGTTTTCCCAAGTCATTATCTAAATATCTAAGGGGGATTTTCAAGATATTGTTTTGAATATTTCATGCTCCAAATAACAATAATATGAAAGACGATATCATATTTGCCATATTGTCTTGGACACTTTTGTTAGATTATGACATAATGCTTACATTTGGGCAGCCATCTTGAACTACATTAATGTAATACAAATCTGAAAGGTCATATCATAGTGGATTTCTGTTATTAAATATCTTGGATTTGCATAAGTACATTTTGGTGATACATCTTGTATGTGATTTACTATTTTTTCTAAAATACCCTTGCTTTCCATATCATAAAGAATTACTTTGTAAAGATATTCATCTTTGCACGCTCGGTCTTCACTGCGTTAATCGACCGACGGGAGCCGAGTGACGAAGATGAAAGATATTAAAATTAACAAAATTTATGGACCCTGTGATGGCCATTTTGAAAAATAATATTTTGTGTAAAATAAGAACCAATAATTACCAAAATGGTCCTCAGATTGGATAGACAGACTGACTGTTAAATGGAAAGAAGGCTTCACTATATCCCTAACAAAATTGTTTGTTGGGATAATAAGTGAGGATATATTAATTTTCTTTCAGGAAAGTTATGTTTTTTCTATTTTTCTAAAAATTCCTTCATGCATGCATGATTCATGCCTGTTCAAGTCAAAATTCCAGACAAATACTAATTCAATTCAATTCAATTCAATAGCTTTGTGGTTCAAAGATTTTGAGTCAGCCAACAACAATCTCTTCCCAAATGTGAGAGGTGATGCTTTAAAAGCAACCAGTTCTAATTTCTAAAATGCATGCATGCTACGTTGGGAGTGAGCACAATAACATTTATGGGTATTCTAAAATTATGGAATAAGAACCATAAATAATGATATAAAACATTGTTTTCCAGAAAGCCACCTGAAAAGCAGTGTTTGAACAAACTGTGTTTGAAAGAATTCTAATACATAAAACAAATCTTAAAAATAACAATAATAAAAGTTTAAAACAACAATCAAACAATTAACATCACATCAACATGCGCTACCTGTTACAGGATGTAGTATCCGCCACCTATCTTTCCTTTAGGAAACCACCACCAAAATATAATAAAACAAATTAATACTTGATTTCAAACATATACTTAGAGGTTAAGACACTGTGACGTGAAATATGCCTGAGTTCTCCCAATATAGGCCGACCTTTGGAGGCTCTAGATTTGGGCATATTTCATGTCATAGTGACATATATGATGTATTACATACCCTTATTCCCATGGCTTCTTTGTATCAATGACACCACACATCTGTGTGCGAGTAGAATTGGATTGAAATGAAACATTGGTATAATATAATAACAATGATATTGTCATTGTTATTAAAGAATCTAATATCAAAACGAGGTAAGGGGGCTATATCGGGCAATATCGGTGGATATAGCCCTCGAAATTTCCTATTGACTTCCATACAAATGCTTCGTTAGGTATGTAATACATCAATATAAATCTAAGTCCCTCTAAACTGTCCAGTTTGGACATTTCTATAGACTGTGTAGGTTCTACAATTGAAGAATGATTAGAAAGAGAGGGCCATCTTTTACACCTCTCATCCACACAACACAAATTGGGAAAGGCCAGGGTAAATCTCTACATACTGGAAAGATTTGTACTGATAGGCAATTTTTACAACATACTGTACTTTAATATGGATATACAGTATCTTTATTGCAAATATATACTTTTCAATATTATGCCTTTTAGTACAATCTGCTTCTAAGCATGAGTCCTCAGGATCCTCAAAAAGAATATCCGGCACTATAGAAGTTCTACTTGTGTTCCCTTTGCCTAAGACTAGGGAGAGAACCAGAACCTTTATACCCAACCAAATCTACAGTTGTACAATATTTGTATATTATCATAAAAACCTTTCTGAAGTTGAGGGCAAATTTGATGCTACTGCAATGCCCTCATCAACTTCTTGGGATTCATCAAATGATTGAGAAAAATTTCTGTATCCTCCAATGTTGGCTTTACTTCTCCTGAAAGTTATTTAGATAAGCATTTAGTGATTCATAAGTGCAACATCCTTTATTATTACACTTTAGCATTTTGTGATTCTTACTGCAGCGATTCTACATGCAGCATTTATTGGTCATAACCCTGTGTGGAGTCTAGTTATAAACTACCCTCTGCCTAGTATAGACTATATTAGTTTAGCAGTCCTGCCCCCAAAGATTGGTGCCTGTGACAGCTTGGGTAATAAATCATTTCAAATCTACCACGCTGACCCTTTCTCAAGTAACGAATACAAAGGGTAATTGGTCATTCACAATAATTATGAAGTGAAGTACAGCACCGTTTAGTGATTCATGCCGATTCATGTGATTCTTAAGGCAGTAATTAGTGATTCTTACTGGCTATGGGTAGGCAAAATTTCAATTTCATTATGGTTTAACCCCTTCCCTCCCTCAACATAACAAAATTAATATTCTTCATTTACCAATCTCCTTAATAAAATTAACTTTGCTCTTTCATGACCATTGACAACCTTTTAAGTGTCCAAAAATTTAGAGTAAATCCGTTAAGTGGCTTTCCTGGAATTGGGATGACAAGAACTTCCAAAAAAATGCAAGATGGCTGCTGAAAAGTTAATCAGCTCTAGAACTTTTTACCATGTAATATGTGTAAAAATTTGAAACAAATCTGTTGAGTGGTTTTTCTGGAATCACGATGAGAACATTTTTTTAAAATACCAAGATGGCCACCAGAATGCAAGATGGCCATCAAAAAGTTAATCAGCATAGAACAAAATCCGTCAACTGACTTATCAAAGATTACATCTTTTACAAAAATGGTGGCCATTTTGAATTTAGGAACCATTTTGAAAATTCCTTTTCGAGCAGAGGTCCTACTATAAGGAATACAAAATTTGAATCAAATCTGTCAACCGGTATTTGAGTTATCAACCAGACACACAAATGGATGGACAAACAGGTTTCCTTTATCCCAGTTGAACTTTATTTCAGTGGGATAAATACGTCGGCAACTGTAACAAAAACCATAATGAGCTAAACAACAATGAAATTGATCAAGCTTACATACCCATATAAAAAAATAAACTCTTCTAATCTGCAAGGGTAAACTCGGTGCCAGTATTTTCGGACACTTTAAGAGTACCAGGGATAAAAAGAAGTGGAAAAACAGCAACCTTAAATAAGCTACATGTATAAGCAATAGAGAAAAATAGGGTAAAATATATGACCAAACAATACAGAGAGCAATTGAATTAATCAGAAAATGTGAGACGATATGAATCAATAATGTATTACAATGATTTAAAGAATATGTCGAAAAAATCATTTTAACTGAAAAACAAACAATCGCCCGATGACATTTATAAAGTTTTTGAAGTTCAATTTGTTTGATCTACAATGATTACCTTATCTATACTAGTCTATAGAGTTGGATTTTAGTCTTTAAATGAAAGGCATTATACCGTGGGATATAATTTGCAGTACATCACCATCAGGGATAAGAGTCTCATTTTAAAATGATGAAGTTCATCACTGTGGTCACTTATACTTTGGGAAGTGGAATAGCCATTATAATGAGTACATGTAAGTTTGATTTTAAAAATTATAAGTACATTGATTAACAACTCTTTATAAAAATTGATTCAAATCAATATTTTACTCATTACAATATTTTTTCAGTTATGTTTTATGAAGGCAAGTCAAGTTTATACAAACCAGAGGAACAATCCGATCAAAATCTGACCTTGACCCAACAAGAGTTCTTAAATGAAATTGCAGAAATTCATCAAAGGCGAAGCAAACTTTTGGAGGAAAAATGCAAGTTGTATAACTTCTCTCAAAATCTTTCAAAGCCTCAACATGCACTTCTCCTAAAAGCAATGTCTTATAATACACCTGTTTGGACATGTCCTGTGCCTAAGGTAGCCACAAGGTTTTTGGGAAGAATGTTTGCAATATCTTCAAATTACTTCCGAGAAGAGAATGTAAGCTCCCTTGGGCTGTTGAACATAACAGGAGCTTTGAGTAAATCAAAGTTTTTTCAGAAGTACAAAGCAAAGGACAGAGCAATTTTAATGAAATACCACAGGGTATTATTTGTAAGGCATCCATTTGATCGACTTATTTCTGCTTATTTGGATAAAATGTATGGACTCGGTCAGTGGCGGGGTACTAGTTTGGATATTATAAAGACAGTACGTCCTAATCCAAGTGGTTATTCTCTAGCATGTGGTCATGATGTCACGTTTCTTGAATTTCTTAAATATGTAGTGATGATGCCAGACAAGACAAACAGACACTGGACTACCGTGATGTCATTCTGTGAACCCTGTGCTGTACATTATGACATCATAGGACACACAGAAACAGCACAGGATGACATCCCATATATGTCACACATGATCAGTAGCAATGTTCCTCCAATGTCTAAAGACATAACTAACATAGAAAACATTAAACGAGAAGTACAGAAACTATTTATGCCTCGCTTTAGACCTTCGACAGAATGCAACATCACATTCAGTCAAGGATATTACAGAGTTTGGGATGTTCTAAAACTTCACAGTTACATAGACAGTAACGCAAATATTCCCCCAGCTCATCAAATTCTCCAAAATTTAACTCGGGTGACATTAGGTACTGAATTAAGGTTTCGACTACAAATGAAATCATTTTTAAAAATTGTCCAAGATGTAATGGAAAGAACAGCAGTGGAGTTGTATCACAATAGAACTGTTAAGGAACCTATCGACCTGCGGAAATATTATTTTAATCATATACCAAACTTGCTCATGGCACAACTTCGAGAAAGATTTAAATATGATTTTGAAATGTTTGGATACACATGACTAAGATTCAAACAAAGATTCTTACATATTTTACTATGCAGGACATCATATTTATTTCAAATATGTATTTAATGCGGGGTTGGACCATCCTGTAATTAGCCTAAACATGATTGATCAAACTGACACAATTTCAACATCCAATATTGATTTTTTAATAATCTATTTAGGATCAATCTATATCACAACTATAATTTATTGTTTTCAGAGTACATGAAAAACAGGTAAATCCATATAAAGGTTACCTGATTGTTTATAATAAGTACAACACATATGTAGTTATCATGATACAATCAACAACTCTGGTAACATACTGTAACATGTATAACTTGCAAAAGGTGAAAGAGGAGTGAAATTGAAAGTACATAACATGTAATACAAAGGTAATCAAAAATCCAAATACCCAAATTTTAGCTTAACAAGTGTTGTGCAGTTTATGAGAATCCGTCAAAGGAATCAGGTAGGTAATATAAAACCACACATGGAATATCCCAATATCCCAGATGCGAGTAGAAATAATCTTGATTTACGTCATTAAAAATTCAGTCAAACTGATGTCATATTTGGAATCTACATGTAAAATTACTTCTAGAAATGTGGTTTTGAAAAGAGTTTATCAACTTTGAAAATTTAATTTTCTTTGAAAATGTGACTTCTAGGTCGGGGAGATTCCCCATAGAGCCCATGTTGTAAAACCACAAAAAGTGAAATATCTTTTCTTGTGTTGGGCAGATAATATTTTCTTTTACTGGACATATTTTAATTTGTATAACTATCAGATACATAAAGGTAATATGAAAAGTGAACCATTAAAACTGATGCATATTCAAGTTTAAGGGAATTTTGTAATACCCTGCCATGTTAATTCCCCCGAATCAGCCACCTGGTGGCGAAACTGGTAACTACCAACTCGCATCTGAGTAATTCAATTTATTTTAAAAACCTGCACCTCAAACGCAACACCTAGAATAGATCAAGAAAGACATCAGTATTATAGAGCACACCTTTTTCGATTATATTTTTTCGAGGCTCGTAAGCTGTCATTACAAGCTCTGATAGCAGGTGCTACCATCGAATCAATATGATCAGTGGCATCTTCTGTAATGTCAACACTTCCTGCACTAGTGTCATCGATGAGTGTGCCAGTATCATCATCTGTGCTGAATAGCCCACTGTCTTGTGTTTTAAGTGACCTATTGTTCCAAAAATATCCAAATATATAGCTTGATTCTTAATTTAGCATTTATAGAGATAATAAATACATCCACATGTCAAATGGGAGTGTCACAATGTATCTAAATTTTATCAATTCTATCAAATTGATACTGTAGATGTATAGAGAAAAATAAATAACCTACACATTATAACCTTCACATATCTAAAATTTGCCTTTATAGCATAAATTAAACAAGATAGTTTTCTATGTTCAATAAGTACCTCAAGGCTGCTATCCTCACTTAGAGACCTGTATGAAGATAGGTTGATAAGATATGGTGAACATTTGATCTGCATGTCTGAATTACCCATGATAAAATAACATATTCGAGAACATGTATGTCATACTTACTGTCTGTGTCTATGCCTAAATAGTCTAGGTTTCCTACTACCATCCTCTGAGTCACTAACAGGTTCTGTTGCATTGTACCGAGGTGTTCTAAATGCCTTCATCTTCCTAAAATTACACATTACATATTATTACTGAAATTCATGCAATTGTATGTATGGCTCAGTCCAAAGTGAAATCTAGTGGGACTTGTTCTTCCAACATGCTGCAGTCATTTTAATATCCAAAATGGGACACAATTTTGGGGTATACCCTTTGATATACACCTTAGGGTTTACATACACAGGTTTCACTAGACATGTAAAACTAATATCATTCTTTAGATGTTGATAATGATTCAGTCTGAACAATCTAACTGAGGTTTTAAGATTTTACTTGCATAAGATATGTAGTATAATATATGTAATACAGCATGGACTATAACATATGCACTTTAAATTGTGACTAAAAATATACAGGGTGGTCCAAAATCAATATTCATTTTTGAAATATGAGTGTCCCATTTTTTGGACCACCCTGTATGTAGTATACAGCGTGGCCTTACCTGTCTCCTAAATGTGCATTGAACATGCTATCATTGTCACTACTTGTCATGTCTTCCGTCACAGTTGGAAATGACTGATGGTGGTCCCATCTATTGGCCAAAGAAGAACTCCGACCTTTGTCTGACATTTTTGTTAATCTCTCTTTGCGGGATATATTATTATTCTGTCCATAGCCATTCATTTTCTGATAGTTTGTATGGTAATTGGCTTGGTTACTATGAATACCATATTCGTCACATTCAATGTCTTCATCTTCAGCCATAGTTGAAAAGTCGCCATCTTCGTTGAATGATCGTGAATTTGTTGGGGAAAGGCTGCAGGGTGGGAAGCATAAAAGCAATGCGTGAATACACTAGACTATCTATCTGGTTGTGAATATACTAAATACAGCTTAAATATATGGATACAGTCTAGATCTAGCCCCAAAAACGTGGCCAATTGGGTGAATAACCTGTGTAAATGAAACACTATAACTCAAATGAAGGATAGTACCTCAATCAGGCCACTATGCCGACACAATTGTGACATTTAACACCATTGAAAGATGGTTCAACGAGAGGATTTTTAAGGCTATTCACTAAACTACAGCTCTAGTTACAGCTCTTTCTACACAAAAGGATATATTCATTTTCAATTGTTTTTGGTTATCACAAATAATTTTCCATACCACATCTTATTTTGTAATCACTTCACACTCACATTTGGTAATCACATCCAATTTTCTATTTTGAAATCACATCATATGTGGTAGTCACAAAATATTTTATAATCAAGTCATATTGCAATAATTTGTAATCAGGTCATACATTTTAATCACAAAACATTTTTATCACTTCATATTAAACATCTACTTGAAATTATACAATAATTCATCATCATGAAATACTTTTCAATCACATATTAAGTGAATTAAAAATACATGGACAATGGACATACAAAACAGCAAGTGCACGAAGTGAGACACACACAATATTAAATAACATTTATTAATCATTAGTTAAGAAAGAGTACAGAGGGGAAATAATACTTGACTATGTGCTAGACTAAATTAAATATATTAATCTACTACAGGGTGGGCCAAAATAAATCAAATTCGTATTTTTTCTGGCCTACCCTAAAAGGTGTACACTGTTGTATATAATATATAATAATATACCCAGCACCAAGCTTCATTACAGCATTGCTCTTAAAGCTTAATGTAAGGACTGCAAGGTCAAGGTGGCATTGATTAAAATATCAATACTTTTTCATCGTCTTAATTTCAACTTTATAGTATCCCTTAAAGAGGTGGCTTTTTTAAGAACACCAATATTGATTGAAAAAATTCAAATAACTAACTGAAAAAATAAAGTCTTTTTTAACATTATTATAATTCATTTATTTATCATATTCTTTTAAGCATTTTAGAATTGTACAGATCAGATAATGGTATAGTAATATCACATTTGGCAATGTTCATAACAATATTCAACAAATATCAATTTTAAGCGCTTATCAAGAAATGATGAATATTTAGACTGCATAATACATATTCACATACAAAATACATGATAAAGAGTATGGCTTACATGATAAAATGAGATTTTATAATTTGTTAAAATGTTTAGAATGTTTTGCGATGTTTTCTCATTATTTAACTGAGCATTGAATAATAAACAAATGCATCGATTTAATTTTTTCCTTATGGAATGCAAATACACAACTGACCTACATGTCATAATAATAACAATTCAATTCATTTTCCTAATATGTGTAAGTACTATGCAATTTGAGCAAATATATTCCTTTAGCAATGTAAATATACACCAATATTGTAAAATATATGGAGAAAAAGTTTCTGAACAACTTGAGACCATTTCGGTGATGTATCATGTATTTTGAGCATATAACCAGGTATAAACAACAAAACATAAAGACATTAAGCATATTTTGAAAATACAATTTCAGATCTTTTTAAAAGTCTCTGAGTTAGCATAGGGAAATATTTGACTAATTATATTTTAATTAGTCGAGTTCTTCAAGCCAATTAGGGGAGTTAGAGGTGCGCAGAGGAGGTGGAGAAGATATCCCAGTGTTCCTAGAGTGAAAAGAGAAACAAAAGCACTGGTTAGACCCAGACATAAAAATTAAAACAACAAGTGTGAATTAAAAATAGATTTATTATGAAGCTTCAAATAGTTACAACATGATTGCAAATCAAAATTTCCAATATACTGGGAAACATGTTACGATCAGTAAATTTGCATTATGTCAATATAACTATGTAATCTAGTGACTTTAACACGATGCAATGTTAAATGAAGGCAATGAGGCTAATGCCTTGGTCACATATGCTCCGATTTTCACTACGGCGCCGGGTCGATTGAGTATTTTGTTCAGAAATGTATTCAATTTTGAACAAAATACTCAATCGGCCTGGCGCCGTAGTGAAAATCGGAGCAAATGTGACCAAGGTATAAATAATGTGAATAATGACAATGATGATACCCATTGCTTACTCACTTTAGGGACAGGGAAATTCACATTGTGAGAGAAACTCTTTTGGGAGACAAGAAATGAACAAGGCATTAGCATGCAAAATGTCACTACCTGCCATTTGTAACAATGACTGCCAGACACCGAACACCATCACAATAAAGTTGGAAGCCATAACAATGTCACCACTTGTGGTGGTGACGTAAAAACACTTAGTGTTGATTGTGATCTCAAAGAACATCAAAATCCCAGGTTCAAAATCCGTCCCAGTCTATTGAATTCTCTGATTTTGCATTCATGTTGTAAATGAAGATACACATGCAGATTACATAAAATGTTACACTATTATTAAAAGATAACCGAATACATTTACGCAAACAAATAACACAACATTATACGGGTATCTGAACTGACTGAAATGTGTACTAGCTACTATCTGCTATCTAAGCTAAGTATTATACCTCTACCTGTGTACTATCTTACAAAAAGGGATTACAAGGCATTTTAACATCAAAAATGTCACCACCAGCCCTTTGTGACAGAAGCAGACCCCCAAATGCCAACTGCCAAACTTCAACCACAAAAATTTGGAGACTATCTCAATATGTCACTTCTTGTGGTGGTGTCATAAAAGTTGAAAGTTTGGATGACTGAGATTGTTAAGAACAATGTGTAGGGGCATCTACTTATTCATAGGTGTTGCATGTAATTTGTATTTTCCATTTTTCACTTCCAGTAACTAAAGTATGATTCAGTCAATTTAAATAACCTCTAATGCATTAAATATTAAACAGAAAATGGCTAACGTGATAGTAATATTATAGGTCTAATACCAAGGCTGAAAATCCATTCATTTTTAGCAGGTTTGGGTGTTATTCATTATTGCATAGTTGGATTCAATCTTCGATCAAAGTCTTTCCATGAAACTTATAGGATTAGCTAAAGACATCTTTAAGTTAATCATACATCAAAAGAACACCATCAAAAATGACCTACACTAATGAATGAGATCTCTGACCTTAAAAGAAACACACAATGGATCAATGTTAAAACATGTAGTATGTGCAGTCTGTGTTCAAGTAAACTAATTGCCACTATGATAGGCAAAAAAGTTAAAGTGATTCGGTGATTTGAATTCCATTCCTTCTAGTGACAAGTAAAACTAATTAGTACCGTGGGTACTGGGCTCACATGGTGTTGCTCAAAAGTGAAGTGAATGATGGCTAAAATAACAGAAAATAAAAAAAAAATAAAAAAATGGAGATAATTTTTTGCTGATTTTTTGTAACAAAATTAATTCAAGCCACTTGCGACTATTTTGGACTGACTGAGAGACAGATGGACAAATCGATGTTAAGTAAAATGGCTGAAAAAAAAACGGATATAATTTTTTGCCAATTATTTGTAACAAAATTATTTCATACAACTACTCTTAACAGTGACATGGCTTTTTGCAATGCAGAACACCTGAAATTATTTGTAAAGCTGGGAAATGGGCCAAAATTGAATTTCGCGAGACAAAAATGGCAACCATTTTGAAAATAGGCAAGCTTTTGAACCAGGAGTCATAGGGGAGTTTTTTGTATTGATGTTGAACAAAAATAACTTGAAACTGGAATCCTATCAACAGAGGTTTTAAGCAAATGGTCCAAAAGAGGATTTCGCGAGACAGATGGACAAATCAATGTTAACTAAAATGGCTGAAAATAAAAAAAACGGATATAATATTTTGCCGATTTTTTGTAACAAAATTATTTCATACAACTACTCTTTACAGTGATATGGCTTTCTACAATGCAGGACAGCTGAAATTATTTGTAAAGCTAGGAAATGGGCCAAAAGTGAATTTCGCGAGACAAAAATGGCGGCCATCTTGAAAATAGGCGAGCTTTTGAACCAAGAGTCATAGTAGGTAGTAAGCTAGGACACAAAAATGTTTTTACCAGTGAACAAATTGAAATTACTTGTTTCTTATGTATTTTTATGTGATACTTCAGAAATTTGTTGTCTGACGCGCCGTATCCGGGGCGAAAGTTGCCAAAGTGGAGTTTTTGACCCTAATATAGAAAATAACAGGGGGTACTTTATTATCCTTGAATAACTTTTTCAGTTGATCTTTAATCATCACAATAACTTGACTGGAAGTTGTTAATATCATTCTTGATTAGTATGCAAAGTTTCAATGATCTGTAATTAATGGTTGTCATGGAAACCATGATCTTTGTTGAAAAAGTCCATAATTTTGGTAAAACCTGTACCTGTACATCATAAAGAATGGGCATTATTTTTCAAATCAAAAGATATCAGAACATGTTAAGACTCTAAAAATTATCAGGCCAGTTCAGACATTTGTTTAAATATAATGGATATTGTTATTCACATGATTGGTAAGTGTCAAAGACCATACAATTACAAAGGTGATCAAAAGTGGGCGTCGCCCTTATAATAGTAGATGATTACCATTTCCTTTAAATACAGATTTTAAGTTGACTTGAGATACAATTATAATGTACTTCTATTGCCATAATCTATATCAAGCAATTCTGGTAGATACATATAAGTGTTGTAGGTATTACATCATGCTTGGGATGGTGGGTACATTGGGGGGGGGGGGGGGTGGGGTGGTAGAGGTACCCAGCCAGGCCCGTAGCCAGGATATGCCAAGGGGGGTTCAGTTTTCAAAAATTTCCAGGGGGGGTTCACATTTGACAATTATGGCCCAAATATGGCTAAAATCACTTAAGAAGTGCTCAAAATGGTGAAAAACTGCATGATTTTGAAATAATTTTTGGCCAGGGGGGGGGGGGGGTTCGCCCGAACCATGCGAACCCCCCCTGGC